GGACTCCGCTCCTTCCTCTATAACTCTCCTCTCCTGAAATACTCTGCTGCTGCTGGAGGACTCCGCTCCTTCCTCTATAACTCTCCTCTCCTGAAATACTCTGCACTGCTGGAGGACTCCGCTCCTTCCTCTATAACTCTCCTCTCCTGAAATACTCTGCGCTGCTGGAGGACTCCGCTCCTTCCTCTATAACTCTCCTCTCCTGAAATACTCTGCGCTGCTGGAGGACTCCGCTCCTTCCTCTATAACTCCTCTCCTGAAATACTCTGCACTGCTGGAGGACTCCGCTCCTTCCTCTATAAACTCCTCTCCTGAAATACTCTGCACTGCTGGAGGACTCCGCTCCTTCCTCTATAACTCTCCTCTCCTGAAAATACTCTGCTGCTGGAGGACTCCTCTCCTTCCTCTATAACTCTCCTCTCCTGAAATACTCTGCTCTGCTGGAGGACTCCGCTCCTTCCTCTATAACTCTCCTCTCCTGAAATACTCTGCGCTGCTGGAGGACTCCGCTCCTTCCTCTATAACTCCTCTCCTGAAATACTCTGCACTGCTGGAGGACTCCGCTCCTTCCTCTATAACTCTCCTCTCCTGAAATACTCTGCACTGCTGGAGGACTCCGCTCCTTCCTCTATAACTCTCCTCTCCTGAAATACTCTGCACTGCTGGAGGACTCCGCTCCTTCCTCTATAACTCTCCTCTCCTGAAATACTCTGCACTGCTGGAGGACTCCGCTCCTTCCTCTATAAACTCCTCTCCTGAAATACTCTGCACTGCTGGAGGACTCCTCTCCTTCCTCTATAACTCCTCTCCTGAAATACTCTGCACTGCTGGAGGACTCCGCTCCTTCCTCTATAAACTCCTCTCCTGAAATACTCTGCGCTGCTGGAGGACTCCGCGCTCCTTCCTCTATAACTCTCCTCTCCTGAAATACTCTGCTCTGCTGGAGGACTCCCGCTCCTTCCTCTATACTCTCCTCTCCTGAAATACTCTGCACTGCTGGAGGACTCCGCTCCTTCCTCTATAACTCCTCTCCTGAAATACTCTGCACTGCTGGAGGACTCCGCTCCTTCCTCTATAACTCTCCTCTCCTGAAATACTCTGCTCTGCTGGAGGACTCCGCTCCTTCCTCTATAACTCTCCTCTCCTGAAATACTCTGCTCTGCTGGAGGACTCCGCTCCTTCCTCTATACTCTCCTCTCCTGAAATACTCTGCACTGCTGGAGGACTCCGCTCCTTCCTCTATAACTCCTCTCCTGAAATACTCTGCACTGCTGGAGGACTCCGCTCCTTCCTCTATAACTCTCCTCTCCTGAAATACTCTGCACTGCTGGAGGACTCCGCTCCTTCCTCTATAAACTCCTCTCCTGAAATACTCTGCACTGCTGGAGGACTCCGCTCCTTCCTCTATAACTCTCCTCTCCTGAAATACTCTGCACTGCTGGAGGACTCCGCTCCTTCCTCTATAACTCCTCTCCTGAAATACTCTGCTGCTGCTGGAGGACTCCGCTCCTTCCTCTATAAACTCCTCTCCTGAAATACTCTGCACTGCTGGAGGACTCCGCTCCTTCCTCTATAACTCTCCTCTCCTGAAATACTCTGCTGCGCTGCTGGAGGACTCCGCTCCTTCCTCTATAACTCTCCTCTCCTGAAATACTCTGCGCTGCTGGAGGACTCCGCTCCTTCCTCTATAACTCCTCTCCTGAAATACTCTGCACTGCTGGAGGACTCCTCTCCTTCCTCTATAACTCCTCTCCTGAAATACTCTGCACTGCTGGAGGACTCCGCTCCTTCCTCTATAACTCTCCTCTCCTGAAATACTCTGCTCTGCTGGAGGACTCCGCTCCTTCCTCTATAACTCCTCTCCTGAAATACTCTGCACTGCTGGAGGACTCCGCTCCTTCCTCTATAACTCCTCTCCTGAAATACTCTGCACTGCTGGAGGACTCCGCTCCTTCCTCTATAACTCTCCTCTCCTGAAATACTCTGCACTGCTGGAGGACTCCGCTCCTTCCTCTATAACTCCTCTCCTGAAATACTCTGCTCTGCTGGAGGACTCCTCTCCTTCCTCTATAACTCTCCTCTCCTGAAATACTCTGCACTGCTGGAGGACTCCGCTCCTTCCTCTATAACTCCTCTCCTGAAATACTCTGCTCTGCTGGAGGACTCCGCTCCTTCCTCTATAACTCCTCTCCTGAAATACTCTGCACTGCTGGAGGACTCCGCTCCTTCCTCTATAACTCTCCTCTCCTGAATTGTTTACTCTGGTCTGCTGGAGGACTCCGCTCCTTCCTCTATAACTCTCCTCTCCTGAAATACTCTGCACTGCTGGAGGACTCCGCTCCTTCCTCTAAATAACTCCTCTCCTGAAATACTCTGCTCTGCTGGAGGACTCCTCTCCTTCCTCTATAACTCCTCTCCTGAAATACTCTGCACACTGCTGGAGGACTCCGCTCCTTCCTCTATACTGGACTCCTCTCCTGAAATACTCTCGCTGCTGCTGGAGACTCCTCTCCTTCCTCTATAACTCCTCTCCTGAAATACTCTGCTCTGCTGAGGAGGACTCTGCTCACTCCTACTCTATGCCATTCCACCATAAAATGCTCCTTTCCGTTGCTGTACGTTTTGAACATCTGCACTGGACTTGTATAACCTTGACATATAGTGCACATTGTTTAGTAAATAGGTCTCCATCTGTCCTCCCCGATATTCCCAGAATCCTCGCAGTTCACATTGTGTTCTCATTACGAGACGTAAAGACGGTAAATGAATTCGTCATTGTATTATGCTGCCGCTAAGCGACAGAAGAATAGGAAGAGAAGAACTTATTAATTGTAGGCACTCCAGTCTGAAAGTATAGAATTGGAAGAGCAGCGCTTCATATCTCATTTCATGTCCAGGGCAACAAAGTGCGGCAACAAAGGGGTCTCGTCCTGGTTGAAGCATCAGGGGTTCTGTGTCTGACTCGTCAGCTTGCCTGAGAATCAGGGGTTCAGGGGTCACCTGATGGTCTGAGAGTCAGGGGCTCTGGGTCACCTGGTGCCTGAGAATTAGGGGGCTCAGGGTCACCTGATGTCTGAGAGTCAGAGGCTCACTGAAGTCTGAGAGTCAGGGCTTAATGGGGTCACCTGGTGCCTGAGAATCAGGGGCTCAGGGGTCACCTGGTGCCTGAGTCAGGGGCTCAGGGGTCACCTGGTGCCTGAGAGTCAGGGGCCAACTGGTGCCTGAGAATCAGGGGCTCAGGGGTCAGCTGGTGCCTGAGAGTCAGGGGCTCAGGGTTCACCTGAAGTCTGAGAGTCAGGGCTCAAAGGTCACCTGGTGCCTGAGAATCAGGGGGAGTCAGGAGTCACCTGAAGTGTCTTGAGAGTCGGGGGAAGGGGTCACCTGGTGCCTGAGAGTCTGGGCTCAGGGGTCACCTGGTGCCTGAGAGTCAGGGGCTCAGGGGTCACCTGGTGCCTGAGAGTCAGGGGCTCAGGGGTCAGCTGGTGCCTGACAGTCAGGGGCTCAGGGGTCACCTGATGTCTTGAGAGTTAGAGGGCTCACCTGAAGTCTGAGAGTCAGGGGCCAACTGGTGCCTGAGAGTCAGGGGCTCAGGGGTCAGCAGGGGTGCCTGAGAGTCAGGGGCTCAGGTGTCAGCTGGTGCCTGAGAGTCAGGGGTCACCTGGTGCCTGAGAGTCAGGGGTTCAGGGGTCACCTGGTGCCTGAGAGTCGGGGCTCAGGGGTCACCTGGTGCCTGAGAGTCAGGGGCTCAGGGGTCACCTGGTGCCTGAGAGTCAGGGGCTCAGGGGTCACCTGGTGCCTGAGAGTCAGGGGCTCAGGGGTCAGCTGGTGCCTGACAGTCAGGGGCCACCTGATGTCTTGAGAGTTAGAGGCTCACCTGAAGTCTGAGAGTCAGGGGCCAACTGGTGCCTGAGAGTCAGGGGTTTAGGGGTCAGCTGGTGCCTGAGAGTTGGAGGCTCAGGGGTCAGCTGGTGCCTGAGAGGCAGAGGCTCAGCTAGTGCCTGAGAGTCAGGGGTTCAGGGGTCACCTGGTGCCTGAGAGTCGGGGGCTCAGGGGTCCCTTTCATTTTAAATGTACTTCTCACAGCTGAGCTCTGGGATAAGCTAATATTGGGGGGAGATTTCCTAAAACTGGATCACTCACAATCTGGTACAGTTGTGCATGGCAGCCAATCAGCTTCTAACTACAGTTTGTTCAATGAAGCTTTCTTCAATAAAACCTGGAAGCTGATTGGTTTCTATACAGAACTGCACCAGATTTTGCACCCTCCAGTTTTAGTAGATAACCCCCGCTATCTAAATATAAAAGACGTGTGTCTTCTTGAATCTCGGTGACAGGGGCGGACTGACAACTCATGGGGCCCCCGGGCAATAGGGGATCATGGGGCCCGTGTCCTTGCCCAAACTCAAAAAAGCCTATGAAAAAGGTACAGGGGCATCTCATGGGGCCCCCTACTGACCCCGGGCCCTCGGGCAGTGCCCGAGTTTCCAAATGGTCAGTACGCCCCAGCTCGGTGAGCTTTGTGTATTTCTTCCAGATCTGTGCAGTAACCAGTGTGTGACTTTTTATAATGAAGACCGCTCACTGCTGTGCAGGGTGACTGGTCTCATCTCCGCCCCCCTCTTTCAGTTTTCTGCAGCTTGTAGTGGGTGGAGCCTGCTGGGACCCTCCCACAGCTCAGCTCTCACCTTGTGCAGGGTGACAGGTCTCGTCTCCGCCCCCTCCTTTAGGTTTCTGCAGCCTCTAGTGACGACTAATAATTTCCAAAGAGATGGGCTTTACCAACAGTGGGAGGGGCTTGACAACCTAAACATGATGTTTTGTAGTCATTCATAGGTTGAGACGCATTGAAAATGACCTTTGATTACATTGTTGATATAAGAACCAGGAATCATCATCAGCTGACCAGAGCCTTTTATTCAACATACCGTCCAATCGGACGCTAATAAAATGAAAGAAAACAGGAAAACAAGCAGGCGTGACACAGAGAAGCCGGGCGACAGTTACTTGTAGAATTCGTGTTCTTGCTCGTCTTTTTTGATCACCGTCTTGTACGCTTTCTCAAAGTCCTTGGCCAGAACTATATAGCGATTCTCACGCACGGCAAGCATACCGCCCTGCAAACAAAGAAGAAATGCACCATGGGAGGTGGAACAGGTGGAGCTGAGGAGGGGCAGGGGGTGTGGCTTCATATGCAGGGCACGAGAGCCGCTTGGGATTAAAGCTAGGAGGAGGAGCAGGGGTGTGGCTTCATATGCAGGGCACGAGAGCCGCTTGCAATTAAAGCTAGGAGGAGGGGCGGGGGTGTGGCTTCATATGTAGGGCACGAGAGCTACTTGCAATTAAAGCTAGGAGGAGGGGCAGGGGTGTGGCTTCATATGCAGGGCACAAGAGCCGCTTGCGATTAAAGCTCATAAAGATCATATATCGATTAAAGCCCAGAGGGGCGGGGGCCTGGCTTCATATGCAGGGCACAAGAGTTGCTTGGAATTAAAGCTAGGAGGGTCAGGGGTGTGGCTTCATATGTAGGGCACGAAAACCACTTGGGATTAAAGCTTGGAGGAGGGGAAGGGGTATGGCTTCATATGCAGGGCACGAGAGCCGCTTGCAATTAAAGCTAGGAGGAGGGCAGGGGTGTGGCTTTATATGCAGGGCACAAGAGCCGCTTGCAATTAAAGCTAGGAGGAGGGGCAGGGGTGTGGCTTCATATGCAGGGCACGAGAGCCACTTGCGATTAAAGCTAGGAGGAAGGGCAGGGGTGACTCTTCATATGCAGGGCACGAGAGCCGCTTGCGATTAAAGCTTGGAGGAGGGGCAGGGGTGTGGCTTCATATGCAGGGCACGAGAGCCGCTTCGGATTAAAGCTTGGAGGAGGGGCAGGGGTGTGGCTTCATATGCAGGGCACGAAAGCCGCTTGAGAATAAAGCTTGGAGGAGGGGCAGTGGTGTGGCTTCATATGCAGGGCACGAGAGCCGCTTGGGATTAAAGCTAGGAGGGTCAGGGGTGTGGCTTCATATGCAGGGCACGAGAGCCGCTTGCGATTAAAGCTTGGAGTAGGGGCGGGGGTGTGGCTTCATATGCAGGGCACGAGAGCTGCTTGCGATTAAAGCTAGGAGGAGGGGCAGGGGTGTGGCTTCATATGCAGGGCACAAGAGCCGCTTGCGATTAAAGCTAGGAGGAGGGGCAGGGGTGTGGCTTCAAATGCAGGGCACGAGAGCCACTTGGGATTAAAGCTTGGAGGAGTGGAAGGGGTGTGGCTTCCTATGCAGGGCACAAGAGCTGCTTGCAATTAAAGCTAGGGGGGGGGGGGGAAGGAGTTTTGGCTTCCTATGCAGGGCACGAGAGCCACTTGCGATTAAAGCTAGCAGGGGCAGGGGTGTGGCTTCATATTCAGGGCACGAGAGCCGCTTGCGATTAAAGCTAGGAGGAGGGGCAGATGTGTGGCTTCATATGTGGGACATGAGAGTCGCTTTCGATTAAAGCCCAGAGGGCGGGGGTGTGGCTTCATATTCAAAGCACGAGAGCCGTTAACGATAAAAGCTTGGAGGAGGGGCAGGGGTGTGGCTTCATATGCAGTGCACGAGAGCCGCTAACGATAAAAGCTTGGAGGAGGGGCAGGGGTGTGGCTTCATATGCAGTGCACGAGAGCTGTTTGGGATTAAAGCTTGGAGGAGGGGCAGGGGTGTGGCTTCATATGCAGGGCACAAGAGCCAGTTTCGATTAACGCCTGGAGGAGGGGCAGGGGCATAACTTAGTAGGCCGGCCATGACAGAAACTTTCAAACAACTTAAATGGTGCAGATTGAAAGGTGAATCGACTGACCACCAATGGAGCAAAGTGTACCTACCTCTTGGCAAATGGAGTTGATATCGGCTCCAGATATTTTATCGGGGCGAGCGACATCTACAGATCAGTCAAGGAGATCAACTTCAGGCACCCGTAAACATTATTTCCGTGTTAACATTGTAACAGTCAAATTCGGGTAACCACTTCCCCCCCCCCCCCCCCCGCAATCCTTAACCACTTCAAGACCGGACACTTTTCCCCCCCTTCCTGACCAGGGGCAATTTTCAGCTTTCAGCGCCATCACGCTTTGAATGACAATTGCGCGGTCATGCAACGCTGTACCCAAATTAATTTTTTACCATTTTTTTGAAACAGATAAAGCTTTATTTTGGTGGTATTTATTCACCGCTGGGATTTTTATTTTTTTTGCTATGCAAATGAAAAAGTCCAAAAATTTTGAAAAAAAGTGTTTTTTTTATAAAAATTTGCAAATAAATAATATTTCATCATAAATCTTTGCCAAAATTTATTCCGTTATCTTTTTAGTAAAAAAAAAAAAAAATCCAAATTAGTTTATAACAAAAATTATAATTTTTAAACATTTTTTTTTTACATTTTTATTTTATTTTTTTATATTATTATTTTTTTTTTTTTTTTACATACTGTCACCCTAGTAGTACAGGGTCACCATGGTGACACTGTACTACTTGTGGGGGGTGATGAAGATTTTTTTTTTTTTTTTTTTTTACACATTGCTTTTACACCCATATAGGATGTAAAAGCAATCATTGCTCTTTCTCTCTGTCTGCATTCTTGCACTCATTGAGAAGTACTGACTGAGCTGTGATTGGTCACAGCCTGTCACATGGTACAAGCCTGTTGTGAATAGCCCTGTACCATGTGACCTCTGTGATCATTCACAAATTTCACACGTAGTAGAAAATGATGTCACAAGTGACATCTTGCTTACTACTTTGCATGTGATCACTGATTGGCCAATCAGTGATCACATGATCGGGACCTCGTACAGAGGTCCCGTCCGACGATCGGTGTTTCACTGTGTCTGGAGGACACAGCGGGCACCGGATCGCGGTGCTGCGCGCTCCCAGGGAGCGCGCACAAGCAGGGTGCGGGGAGGCCGTTTATAGACCCTGCACTGCCACCGTCCGGCCGTTTATATACAACGGCCGGACAGGAGGTGGTTAATGGGGAGCGGGGGAGCAGTCCTTAAAGCAGAACTTCCCCTTCTGGGTGGAGCTCCACTTTAACATGGAAACCTTTGAAGGCTCCCGAAGGTCAAGCTTCTAACTGCAGAAATGGAGCCGAGGGGCTAAAAGAACTTTTTTTTATATCTTTCAGGCCTAAACTTCCCAACTGAACATCACCTAACGATTCAAACGCAATAAAAAGTAACAGCAATAACAATCGCCATGCAGGAAGGATACAATCTTCCAGGTCCACTTCTTCGGACAAGTTCATCTTGCTGGTGATGGTGGAGAAGATGAGACGTTTCTGCCTTCGGTCAGGAAGAGGGAATTCGATCTTGCGGTCCAGGCGGCCGGGTCGCAGCAGGGCCGGATCTAGAGTGTCGGCTCTGTTTGTGGCCATGATGACCTGAAGGAAGAAAAAAAAAAAAACCAGATGCTTGATGTCCATTTCTCCCCAGCAAATGGTACAAGTGGCCAGAGTCCACCAGGCGTCTTTTTTATGATCACCCCCTTCTATGGAAAGTGAACCCCGCCTCATATTACCACTCGAGTATCTATAGAAATCGTTCCGATTCTTGTCAGGTCACTAACAGCAGCAGACGGGGGAAACCTTACCTTCACGTTAACATTCTGATCAAACCCGTCCATCTGATTCAGGAGCTCCAGCAGAATTCTCTGCACCTCTCTGTCAGCTGTAAGGACACAACAGGAGAGGTGAACATGGCACTGCTAAATAACCACTCCCCCCCCTTCAAGTCCGGACGCTTCCCCCCCCTTCCAGTCCGGACACACCCCCCCCCCCCCCCCTTCCAGTCCGGACGCTTTCCCCCCCTTCCAGTCCGGACACTTTCATCCCCTTCCAGTCCAGACGCTTTCCCCCCCCTTCCAGTCCAGACGCTTTCCCCCCCCCCCCCCCCCCCCCTTCCAGTCCGGACGCTTCCCCCCGCCCCTTCCAGTCCGGACGCTTTCCCCCCCCCCCTTCCAGTCCGGACGCTTCCCCCGCCCCTTCCAGTCCCGACGCTTTCCCCCCCCCTTCCAGTCCCGACGCTTTCCCCCCCTTCCAGTCCCGACGCTCCCCCCCCCCCCTTCCAGTCCGGACGCTTTCCCCCCCCCCCTTCCAGTCCGGACGCTTCCCCCCCCCCCCCCCCCTTCCAGTCCGACCGGACGCTTTCCCCCCCCCCCCCCCTTCCAGTCCGGACGCTTTCCCCCCCCCCCCCCTTCCAGTCCGGACGCTTTCCCCCCCCCTTCTTCCAGTCCGGACGCTTTCCCCCCCCCCCCCCCCCCTTCCAGTCCGGACGCTTTCCCCCCCCCTTCCAGTCCGGACGCTTTCACCCCCTTCCAGTCCGGACGCTTTCCCCCCCTTCCAGTCCGGACGCTTTCCCCCCCTTCCAGTCCGGACACTTTCCCCCCCTTCCAGTCCGGACACTTTCCCCCCCTTCCAGTCCGGACACTTTCCCCCCCTTCCAGTCCGGACACTTTCCCCCCCTCCAGTCCGGACGCTTTCCCCCCCCCCCCCCCCCTTCCAGTCCAGACACTCCCCCCCCCTTCTTCCAGTCCGGACGCTTTCCCCCCCCTTCCAGTCCGGACGCTTTCACCCCCTTCCAGTCCGGACGCTTTCCCCCCCCCCTTCCAGTCCGGACGCTTTCCCCCCCTTCCAGTCCGGACACTTTCCCCCCCTCCAGTCCGGACACTTTCCCCCCCTCCAGTCCGGACACTTTCCCCCCCTCCAGTCCGGACACTTTCCCCCCCTCCAGTCCGGACACTTTCCCCCCCTCCAGTCCGGACACTTTCCCCCCCCTCCAGTCCGGACGCTTTCCCCCCCTTCCAGTCCGGACGCTTTCCCCCCCTTCCAGTCCGGACACTTCCCCCCCCCCCCCCCCCCCCCCCCCTTCCAGTCCGGACACTTCCCCCCCCCCCCTTCCAGTCCAGACACTTCCCCCCCCCCCCCCCCTTCCAGTCCGGACACTTTCCCCCCCCCTTCCTGCCCAGGCCAGTTCTCAGCTTTCAGCACTGTTGCACTTTGAATGACAATTGCGCGGTCATGCAACACTGTACCCATATGACATTTTTAGCATTTTTTTTGAGACAGAGAACTTTATTTTGGTGGTATTTATTCACCATTTATTCCAAAAATTTGGAAAAAAAGTGTTTTTCTTATAAAATTTTGCAAATAAATAATATTTCATCCTAAATCTTGGCCAACATTTATTCAGTTATCTTTTGAGTAAAAAAAAAAAAAAAAAAACCCAAATTAGTGTATAACCAAAAATTATAATTTTTCTAAATTCTTTTTTACATTTTTATTTATTTTTTTTATATTTATGTTTTTTTTAACATACTGTCACCCTAGCAGTACAGTGTCACCATGGTGACACTGTACCTCTTGTGGGGGGTGATGAAGATTTTTTTTTTTTTTTAACCACCGATTGCTTTTACACCCATAAAGGCTGTAAAAGCAATCATTTCTCCTTCTCTCTGGCTGCATTCTTGCAGCCATTGAGAAATGCTGTGTGAGCTGTGATTGGTCACAGCTTGTCAAGTGGTACAAGGCTGTTGTGAATAGCCCTGTACCATGTGATCTCTGTGATCATTTGCAGATTTCACACGTAGTAAGCAATGATGTCAGAAGTGACATCTTGCTTACTACTCTGCATGTGATCACTGATTGGCCAATCAGTAATCACATGATCGGGACCTCGCACAGAGGTCCCGTACAACGATCGGTGTTCCACTGTGACTGGAGGACATAGCGGGCACTGGATTGCGATGCTGCGCGCTCCCAGGGAGCGCACACAGCTAGAAATGATTGCTTTTACAGCCAATATGAACGGCAACCCGCCCCTGCACTGCCACCGTCTGGCCGTTTATATACCGCGCCTGGACAGCAAGTGGTTAAAATCCAAATCCACTCAAAGGCTTTTATATTGTATTGAATAGAACAGAAAATGGTGCACTTCTTCTGAAAACGCAGACCACACGGGAACCTCGGTTCCCAGTAGAGTTGCGTTTTCCAGTGCGGGCGGCATGCCATTAGAACTAATGGCACCCACCCGCGGGTTCGTATTCCTCTGTGCGAGTGGTGCGGCTGCACTGATTTTTGTGCGGATCCGCAGCGGCACCACCCGCACAGATGTGAACCAAACCTTAAGTATTCTCTCTCTCTCTAGTCAAACATGGCTGCTCCAGAGGTTTGGCTGGAGTTGTACTATAAACTATGTACATGCCGTAGCAGGGGTGGACTGACCATTTGGAAACTCAGGCACTGCCCGAGGGCCCGGGGTCAGTAGGGGGCACCATGAGATGTCGCTGGTACCTTTTTCATAGGCTTTTTTGAGTTTGGGCAAGTACACAGGGGCCCCATGATCCCCTATTTCCCGGGGGCCCCATGAGTTGTCAGCCCGCCCCTATGCCGTAGCATAGATACACATCTCTCTCTCCTCCTATGGATACACTCACCTCCTGTCTGTGCGTCAAACCTCTTCGTGGCGATTGCGTCAATTTCATCAATAAATATGATGGCGGGAGCGTTCTCTTTAGCAAGCCGGAAGACGTCTCTCACCATTCGAGGACCCTCACCCAGGTATTTCTGGACAAACTCTGAGCCCACCACACGAATGAAGGCGGCTGTAATGGGAAAACATTATGGTGTCAGCGTACATTTAGGGTTCATGTAGGTAGCACAGCGGCTAAATGGTTAGCACTTCCGCCTGGCAGTACTAGAATCCCAACCACGGCACCACCTGCCTGGAGTTTGCATGTTGTCCCTGGGCCTGTGTGGGTTTCCTCCGGGTACTCCGGTTTCCTCCCACACTCCAAAGACATGCTGGTAGGATAATTGTCTCCTGTCTAAATTGTCCCTAGGATGTGTATGTATGAATGTGAGTTAGGGACCTTAGATTGTACGCCCCTTGAGGGTTAGGGACCTTAGATTGTACGCCCCTTGAGGGTTAGGGACCTTAGATTGTACACCCCTTGAGGGTTAGGAGACCTTAGATTGTACGCCCCTTGAGGGTTAGGGACCTTAGATTGTACACCCCTTGAGGGTTAGGGACCTTAGATTGTACGCCCCTTGAGGGTTAGGGACCTTAGATTGTACGCCCCTTGAGGGGTTAGGGACCTTAGGACCTTAGATTGTACGCCCCTTGAGGGTTAGGACCTTAGACCTTGAGGGTTAGGGACCTTAGATTGTACGCCCCTTGAGGGTTAGGGACCTTAGATTGTACACCCCTTGAGGGTTAAGGACCTTAGATTGTACGCCCCTTGAGGGTTAGAGACCTTAGATTGTACGCCCCTTGAGGGTTAGGGACCTTAGATTGTACGCCCCTTGAGGGTTAGGGACCTTAGATTGTACCCCCCTTGAGGGTTAGAGACCTTAGATTGTACGCCCCTTGAGGGTTAGGGACCTTAGATTGTACGCCCCTTGAGGGTTAGGGACCTTAGATTGTACGCCCCTTGGGGGTTAAGGACCTTAGATTGTACGCCCCTTGAGGGTCAGGGACCTTAGATTGTACGCCCCTTGAGGGTTAGGGACCTTAGATTGTACGCCCCTTGAGGGTTAAGGACCTTAGATTGTACGCCCCTTGAGGGTTAGGGACTGATGTGAATGTACAATATACAGTAGTTATATTAATTTTTTGGTATATTAGAAGGTTGAGAGCGCTGTTTGTGGGATTTTCTATTTCACTTTATATATACACCGCGTTCCAAATTATTATGCAAATTCTATTTAAGTGTCACAAAGATGAAATATTTTGTTTTTCAGTGTAACTCATGGATGGCATTGTGTGTCAGGGCTCTTTTGATCAGTGAAAACAATCTCGGACACCTGTGATCATTAGATTGGCCGGTGAGCCCAATTGAAGGAAAAAACTACTAAAGGAGGATGTTCCACATTATAAGCAGAGCACCATTTTCAAGCAATATGGAGAAGAAAAAGGATCTCTCTGCTGCTGAAAAGAGTGAAATAGTTCAATGCCTTAGACGAGGGATGAAAACATTCGATATTTCACGAAAACTTAAGCGTGATCATCACACTATTAGGAGATTTGCAGCTGATTCAGAGCACAGACGGGTTGGTGCAGATAAAGGCACATTGAGGAAGATTTCTGCCAGATCCATGCATCGGATCAAGAGAGCAGCTGCTAAAATCCCATTACATAGCAGCAAACAGATATTTGAAGCTGCTGGTGCCTCTGGAGTCCCACGGACATCAAGGTGTAGAGTCCTCCAGAGTCTGCAACTGTGCAGAAACCTTCTATTCGGCCACCACTAACCAATGCTCACAAGCAGAAACGGCTGCATTGGGCAGAAAAATACATGAAGACTCATTTTCAAACAGTCCTGTTCACTGATGAGTGCCGTGCAACCCTGGATGGTCCAGATGGATGGAGTAGTGGATGGTTGGTGGACGGCCACCCTGTTCCAACAAGGCTGCGACGTCAGCAAGGCAGTGGTGGAGTCATGTTTTGGACCGGAATCATGGGAACAGAGCGGGTCGGCCCTTTAGAGCCCCCGAAGGTGTAAAGATAACCTCTGCAAAGTATGTGGAGTTTATGACTGACCACTCTCTTCCCTGGTACAGAAGGAAGAACTATGCTTTCCGTAATAAAATCATCTTCATGCATGACAATGCACCATCTCATGCTGCAAAGAATACCTCTGCATCAATGGCTGCTATGGGGATAAAAGGAGAGAAAGTCATGGTGTGGCCTCCATCCTCCCCTGACCTCAATCCTATTGAGAACCTTTGGAGCATCCACAAGCAAAAGATCTATGAGGGTGGGAGGCAGTTTACATCCAAACAGCAGCTCTGGGAGGCTATTCTGACATCTGGCAAACAAATTCAAGCAGAAACTGTCCAAAAACTCCCAAGTTCAATGGATGCCAGACTTGTGATCTGCTATCAGATAAGGGCTCCTATGTTACAATGTAACGTGACCGCTTCAAATGTTTACAAAGTTACAATGTTGGGAAAAGTTTGATTGAAATAGCTTTTGATTTCAGTAAATTTGCTGCAAACACAACAAATGACAATTTTCAGTTCTTTACAACCTAGAAAGTGTTTTGAAACTTCCTGTGCGGAATAATTTGGAACAAAAATCCTGTTATCATTAGGAGGTTCGTTCAATAAAATGTGAATTGTCCTCTTTCTAGTTGTAACCTGAGAATTCTGCCGACTGTTATTTACATCAATTATTGAGGGAAATGAGGAAATATCATTTGCAGAATAATTTGGAACACGGTGTATTTATAGTTATATTTATAATTTTCACAGGAGAAAAGCTTTGTCTGTACGTCTCCTTTAATGATTTTTATTTTTATGGCTACAGAATGGCATTTACTGATTCTATTCTTTATGTGGATCTCGGGAACATCTGCGCACCCCATGTGTAAACGCACTCACCCGTAGTGTGATGAGCCACAGCTTTGGCCAGCATAGTCTTCCCACAGCCAGGGGGCCCGTACATCAGCACCCCACGGGGTGGATCGATGCCGATCTGAAGAATACAAGGAGTGAAGAGTGAGTCTGGCTCTGCTGTCATATTATAATTCCAGCGAACGATCGACTATATTGCGCACGGAAAACACTACCTGTTTATAGAGCTCAAAGTGTGTTAGCGGCAGCTCCACCGCCTCGCGGACTTCCTGCTTCTGGATATCCATGCCTCCGATGTCCGAATACAAGACGTCCGGCTTCTGGTCTGAGGACGCAACAAAAGACACAGGATCGTTACAAAGGGCTGATCGTGTGATACACCCGGGGCGACCATTTCCAACAGGACAAGGGCAGCTGCACCACTTGATCGATCGATCGCCCGCTGCGCTTTTACAGGAAATATTGGGTGTCGTTACCTGATGTCAGCATCATAATACTGCTGTCTGCCTCTGGAGGAAGAACGTCCACCAGAGCGTTGCTGTGCTTGTGAAGAGCGACCGACGCGTTTGGCTTCAGCAGCTCACGATCGATGGTGCTCAGTATCCGCACATAATAATTGGAACCTACAGTGGAGATATAAACAGATCAATAAACCTGCGAATGTAAACGGATGGCAAATTTATTTGCAGCAAATCAGCCGCAGCTGAAGCCGGATAGTACAGTAACCCCTTCCTGTCCGGACGCTTCCCCCCCCCTTCCAGTCGGGACGCTGTCCCCCCCCCTTCCAGTCAGGACGCCCCCCCCCCCCCCACCTTCCAGTCGGGACGCTTCCCCCCCCCCCCCCCTTCCAGTCGGGACGCTTCCCCCCCCCCCCTTCCAGTCCGGACGCTCCACCCCCCCTTCCAGCCCGGACGCTTCCCCCCCCCCCCCTTCCAGCCCGGACGCTTCCCCCCCCCCCCCCTTCCAGCCCGGACGCTTTCCCCCCCCCCCCCTTCCAGCCCGGACGCTCCCCCCCCCCCCTTCCAGCCCGGACGCTTCCCCCCCCCCCCCCCCCCCCTTCCAGCCCGGACGCTCCCCCCCCCCCCCCCTCCAGCCCGGACGCTCCCCCCCCCCCCCTCCTCCAGCCCGGACGCTCCCCCCCCCCCTCCAGCCCGGACACTTTCCCCCCCCCCCGCCCAGACGCTACAAAGGTATAAACAAAGCTTGGTGATGAGAACAGTGAAGGAATGAAGTTCCATACCAGTTGTGGATCCCACAATGGCCGTGTTCTGGTCCACCGCCTCCAGGAACTGGCCAATGACCAGAGGGATACTCTGGATACGCTTCACCTCCTCCTGGGCGTGGAGGAATTCCTTCTTCAGGTTCTTCTGCTCGTCCTTAATGTACTCCTCCTGAACCTCCAGGAACTCCAGCTCTTGCTGCAGCTTCTATGACAGGAAAACAAAAATCGGACAAAAAGGTTTATGGTTTAGTTTTTAGAAGCTTCTAATGGTTTGGTTGGCTGTTCCCAGCCCCGCTCCTGAAGGCCGTCCAGCGGCCCCCGCTCCTGAAGGCCGTCCAGCAGCCCCGCTCCTGAAGGCCGTCCAGCAGCCCCGCTCCTGAAGGCCGTCCAGCAGCCCCGCTCCTGAAGGCCGTCCAGCAGCCCCGCTCCTGAAGGCCGTCCAGCGCCCCGCTCCTGAAGGCCGTCCAGCGGCCCGCTCCTGAAGGCCGTCCAGCGGCCCGCTCCTGAAGGCCGTCCAGCGGGCCCGCTCCTGAAGGCCGTCCAGCGGCCCGCTCCTGAAGGCCGTCCAGCGGCCCGCTCCTGAAGGCCGTCCAGCGGCCCGCTCCTGAAGGCCGTCCAGCGGCCCGCTCCTGAAGGCCGTCCAGCGGCCCGCTCCTGAAGGCCGTCCAGCGGCCCGCTCCTGAAGGCCGTCCAGCGGCCCGCTCCTGAAGGCCGTCCAGCAGCCCGCTCCTGAAGGCTGCAGCAGCCTGCTCCTGAAGGCTGTCCAGCGCCCGCTCTTGAAGGCTGTCCAGCGGCCCGCTCCCGAGGCTGTCCAGCGGCCCGCTCCCGAAGGCCGTCCAGCAGCCCGCTCCTGAGGCTGTTCCTAACCCAGTCCTGAGGCTGTCCCCATCAGCTGTTTGCTGGCTCAGTTCTGCACACTATACAAGGATCTGATGGGGTGCAGTTTATTACTAGTGACTGCGCAGACAATCAGAAAAAAAAAAAAGCTGTTGTGGAACTACATTTCCCATGAGGCATTGCAAAGATTACAAAACTGACCGTTACAGCTATGACTTGCAGAGGCATGATGGAACTTGTAGTCCTGCGGCTCTCAGGTTGCCTACCCCTGTACTAGGGAGACATGCTGCTTTGTATCGCTCTGCTATGCTATGCAGAGCAATACAAAGCAGCATGTCCTTGCTGACAGAGGAGAGATCTGTGTTGTTTTCACACAGACCTCTCCCCTGTCACTGTTCCTCTGCGATCGCCGGGTGCTGGTGGGGAATCTCCGGCCGGGGACCCCGTGATCGACAGCTGTAGCCGCCAATGGCAGCGCGGGTAAGGCGGTGCACACGCCTCCTGCCGGGAAATGCAAAATCTGGTATATATACACGTGATTTCGCACAGCCCTACCGCCCTGTAGCAGTAATTCTGCTGTAGGGCGGAGGGGAACCAGTTAAACATGGTTGCTGGGTGCTCCTATTCACCGGATTGGGTTGCTTCAGCCAGGCAGTACTGCCCCTATTTAATCTTCTTCTGGTTTCCCTGCGGAGGGCGGAGCCAATCGTCTCTCGGGTGAAGCTCTTCTGGAAGCCGATTGGGGAATTCTTCGGGTTTTTTTGCACGGCGAGAGCTCGAACCCCGGCAAAGAGGAGATCTCACCTTGTATCGGCTGTACAGATCCTCCAAATCTTCCGGTTCCGGGCCAAGGAAAGAGAGAGCCGTGATTGGACGAGAAGAGGACAGGGAGGGAGCGTCATCCTGATAATAGAGGGAGAGATGAAACATCAGAATACAAAATATCATTTCCACTGAAAGCCACTTACAGCGGGTACAGGAAAGAATTGCCCCCCTTAAAAAAATCACATTTATTGATTCCCATCGACTTCTACAGACAAGAGGACCTGTCACCTCCCGTACAGCGGGTATAGAAAAGAATCGCCCCACTTTCAAAAAAATCCTATGTTGTTGCTTTGCACCCAGAAATGAAGACAGACACCGTGTTTGTTTTATCCGGCTGTATAGTGAAAGATGTAACAAGAACATGTCAGAACATTTTTTTTTAACCCCTTCCCTACCGCGCTATAGACGAATGACGGCTACTGATCGATCGGCCAGTTCTGGGTGTCACATGACGTCCTCCCAGAACGCACCCACAGGGGCACGCACCCGGCGCTGTCTGCGATCTGTCTGTCCATTGGACGTAGCTGATCATGTGACATGGTAAAAGGCCAATCACAGTGTCTTTTTTTACGTGATCAGCTACGTCCAATGGACACAGAGATCGCAGACAGCACCGGGTGCGTTCTGGGAGGACGTCATGTGACACCCAGAACTGGCCAATCGATCAGTAGCCGTCATTCGTCTATAGCGCGGTAGGGAAGGGGTTAAAAAAAATGTTCATGTTACATCTTTCACTATACAGCCAGATAAAACAAACACGGTGTCTGTCTTCATTTCTGGCTGCAAAGCAACAAGATGGGATGATTGGGCGATTCTTTTCTATACCCGCTGTACAATCGTACGATCGCCTTCATGTCCACAACAAACAATGTAGTGTGAGGGCCTGACCGATACAGATTGGTCGTACAGCTTAGGTCTGTGTCACACAGTATTCACGAATCTATAGCAGATTGTACAATCGGATTGTATGATCAGCCAAATGCAGACTGTACAATCGGATTGTATGACCAGCCAAATGCAGACTGTACAATTGGTCAATGGCTGTACAATGGTCAGCCAATCGGATTGTATAGTTAGCCGAACGCAGATTGTACAACTGGATTGTATGGTCAGCCAACTGCAGAGTGTACAATCAGATTGCATGGTCAGCTGATCACACATTTTACAATCAGAACAAATGGTTGGCCGATCACAAATTGTACAGTAAACCAATTGCAGATTGTACAGAGTGTATGGTCGGTTGAACACAGATTGTACAGGGGGATTGTACTGTCGGTTGAACACAGATTGTACAGGGGGATTGTACTGTCGGTTGAACACAGATTGTACAGGGGGATTGTACTGTCGGTTGAACACAGATTGTACAGGGGGATTGTACTGTCGGTTGAACACAGATTGTACAGGGGGATTGTACTGTCGGTTGAACACAGATTGTACAATGGGATTGTACGGTTGGCTGAACTTAGATTGCATAGCGTGTGTCCAGCTCTAGGGAGATTGTATGGTCATCTTTAATAGGTGTGTATGGTGATTGTACAATCAGACCACACACTGTATGGTCGTCTGATCGGCCTGTAAATGGCGTAAGGGCCGGAGGGAGGAGACGATCCCCGTGTTATGAACACACATACCCGGGCCCTCCTAATGCCCCCCAACCGGGCTCTATCAGTGACCTGGACGGATGGGACTGCAGAGATTTCCCACCATCCCCCCGGTACCTGTCCGCTGCCCTTCTCTATGATGATCCCGATCTCCTCCATTCTGTTTCCCTGTGTCACTGCGGTCCGGCCACCACTGACTACTTCCGGCGCCGAGAAATGACGTCAGCAGCACAGAGGGAGGCCGGACGTGCGTGAGTCACGTGCACGCATGCGTGGGACCCCTCAGTAAGTGAGGACAGGCCACGTGGGCGGCAGAGCTAGGCCTGGCAGATCCGCCCCTCTTCTCTAGAAAACATTCGTCATTTCCGGTCTGATACAGAACAATGTTACATTGTATCTATAGCCGGAACCGTTATTATGTATTATTGGGGTTTATTATATCCATTATTATTGTTACATTGTATTTATATTTTATTAATCTTTTATAAATGACAGGGGAGACCCTGGTCAGTCCACCCTGGCGACCAAAATAATGTCCTAGCCAGGGTGGACTGACCATTTGGAAACTCAGGCACTGCCTGAGGGCCCTGCTTCCATAGGGGGCCCCATGAGATGCCCCTGGTACCTTTTTCATAGGCTTTTTTGAGTTTGGGCAAGGACACAGGGGCCTCATGATCCCCTATTGCCTGGGGGCCCCATGAGTTGTCAGTCTGCTCCTGGTCCTAGCCGTCCCCAGAAGAGGGACTCTGACTCTAGGGAGATTTCCCCTCACTTCCTCTTGTGTCACCAGAACAGGGTGTGATGGGAAATGTTCCTAATGGCACAGAGAGCAAGAAATGAATAACTGACGGGTTCTAACCCAGTATGGTGGTCAGCCCATAACAGGCCTCAATTGTGGCCCCTGACATCACCGGAGGGCCACACAATATTTTCAGTGAATGAAATATTACAAGAGATGGTCAAAGACTGCAGACACACTACAGAGGTAGTCAAACAGTAGGGCCCAGTAATACCCCTGATCAGCAGATCCCCCGCTCAGTAGTAACCCCCAGCTCTGCTTTTCCCATGCTCTGTAGTAACCCCCAGGTCTGCCGATCCCCTGCACAGTAGTAACCCCCAGCTCTGCCGATCCTCCGCTCAGTAGTAACCCCCAGCTCTGCCGATCCCCTGCTCAGTAGTAACTCGCAGCTCTGCTGTTCCCCCGATCAGTAGTAACCCCCAGGTCTGCCAATCCCCATGCTCAGTAGTAACCCCCAGCTTTGCTGTTCCCCTGCTCAGTAGTACCCCCAGGTCTGCCGATCCCCAACTCAGTAGTAACCCCAGCTCTACCGATCCCCCGCTCAGTTGTAACATTCAGCTCTGCCGATCCCCAGTTCAGTAGTAACCCCCAGCTCTGCTTTTTCCCATGTTCTGTGTTAACCCTCAGCTCTGCTTTTCCATGCTCTCTAGTAACCCCCAGCTCTGCTTTTCCCATGTTCTGTGTTAACCCTCAGCTCTGCTTTTCCATGCTCTCTAGTAACCCCCAGCTCTGCTTTTCCCATGCTCCACAGTAACTCCCAGCTCTGCTGATCCCCCACTCTGTAGTAACCCCCAGCTCTGCTGTTCCCATGCTCAGTAGTAACCCTCTGCTTTGCTTTTCCCGTGCTCTCTAGTAACCCCCAGCTCTGCTTTTCCCATGTTCCATAGTAACCCCCAGCTCTGCCAATCCCCTGCTCAGTAGTAACCCCAAGCTCTGCCAACCCCCAGCTCTGCCGATCCCCTGCTCAGTAGTAACCCCCAGCGCTTACCATTGAAAGAAAGCTCTATTTGTGGGAAAAAAGGATATAAATTTAATTTGGGTGCAGCGATGCATGACCGTGCAATTGTCAGTTAAAGTAACGCAGCGTCATATCGCAAAAAATGGCCTGGTCAGGAAAGGGGGGGGGGGGGGGGGAGATCCTCTGGAGGGCAAGGGGTTAATAGAAAAAAAGTAAAAAAATATTTTTTTTTTCTCAAAATTGTCTTTTTTGTTTATAGCGCAAAAAAATAAAAAGACGTAGAGGTGATCAAATACCACCGAAAGAAAGCTCTATTTGTGAGAAAAAAAGGACAAATTTAATTTGGGTGCAGCGTTGCACGATCGCGCTATTGTCAAAGTAACATAGCTCCGTATCGCAAAATATGGCCTGGTCAGGAAGGGGGGTAAATCCTTTGGAGGGCAAGGGGTTAATATCAAAAAGTCAAAAATAGTTTTTTTTTCTCAAAATTGTCTTTTTTTTTTTTTGTTTATAGCACAAAAAAAATAAAAAACCGCAGAGGTGATCAAATACCACCGAAAGAAAGCTCTATTTGTAAGAAAAAAGGACATAAATGTAATTTCTGTACAGCATTGCATGACTGCGCAATTGTCAGTTAAAGTAAGGCAGCGGCGTATCACAAAAAATGGCCTGGTCAGGAAGGGTGGGGGGGGGGGAACCTCAGGAGGGCAAGAGGTTAATAGCAAAAGGTCAAAAATATTGTTTTTGTCTCAAAATTGTCTTTTGTTTGGTTTATAGCGCAAAAAAATAAAAACCCGCAGAGGTGATCAAATACCACCGAAAGAAAACTCTGTGGGGAAAAAAAAGGACATAAATGTAATTTATGTACAGCATTGCATGACTGCGCAATTCTCAGTTAAAGTAAGGCAGCGCCGTATCACAAAAAATGGCCTGGTCAGGAGGGGGGGGGGTGGGGGGTTGGGGTGGGGGGGGGGGGGGGGGGGGGGGAGGGGGGGGGGGGGGTGGGTGTGGGGGGGATGGGGGGGGTGGGGGGTGAGGGGGGGGGGGGGGGGGGGGGGGGGGGGGGGGGGGGGGGGGGGGGGAACCTCGGGAGGGCAAGAGGTTAACAGCAAAAAGTCAAAAATATATTTTTTTTCTCAAAATTGTTTTTTTTTTTTTTTGTTTATAGCACAAAAAAATAAAAAAAGACGCAGAGGTGACCAAATACCACCAAAAGAAAGCTCAATTTGTGGGAAAAAAGTATGTAAATGTCATTTGGATACAGCATTGCATGACCCGCGCAATTATCAAAGTACCGCAGTGCCATATTGCAAAAATGGCCTGGTCAGGAAGGGGGGGGGGGGGATCCTCTGGAGAGCAAGTGGTTAAACACTTTAAAAAACTGCTCTGGCAGCACAAGGGTTAAATGCCATATTAGGGAATAGGCACAGAGGGAGGGCAGGCTCGCTGGCAATGAATGGGTTATTATAGTTTATGTAGATGGCAGAGTGGGGGGGCGGTAATAGATGACGTGGTAGCGTCACATCTGCTGCTGTTATGACAGGACGTCACATATAAATACAGGCCGCTCACACCAGGCAGAGGAGGGATGATGGAAAACAGCCGGAGAATATACAGAGGGATCCACCGGGTGGAAAATAATCCTACTGTGTAGAATCGGTCAACCAGAAACGAATGACGTTCTTACCGGTGACAGCCATCTACGGCGCCTAGGTGACTCTGCACCGCAGAGCAGCTATTGGATCTTCCTATCTCAAGTTCTCCCAACACAGAGAGTTGAAAGAAAGCGGTCATGCTGCTATTGTGGGGCCAGCGGCTGCCTTCCTTTGGGTGCTCTAACCTCTTCTTGTCACCGAAACGTAGCAGGAGGGCCTCAACACTCAGCCGCCACACATGTGCATCCATGGGAGGTAGTGATGGCGTGCCGAGAGCAGGGGCGGACTGACAACTCATGGGGCCCCCGGGCAATAGGGGATCATGGGGCCCCTGTGTCCTTGCCCAAACTCAAAAAAGCCTATGAAAAAGGTACCAGGGACATCTCATGGGGCCCCCTACTGACCCCGGGCCCTCGGGCAGTGCCCCAGTTTCCAAATGGTCAGTCTGCCCCTGGCCGAGAGCACATTCCCAGTACGCTGACCGAGCTGTCACCTACAGCTCTTGGTCTCTGTGACCGGAGGACAGCTGGACAGGCTGCCGATTGTGTGACCGCTGTGAGGGCCGGCGGTCAGGTGATCGAGGCACCAACTCCCGGCTTAAGATGGTTGTAAACCTCAAACACGAACAAAGCATATCCCTCTATGGGGCATATTTGTCTCAATCCAGAGCACTGAGTGTCATTTCTGTTTGCTGCCTCCTTCCTTGGCATGAGTCCCTTCTACGAGTTTTTCTGACACCAAGAGAAAAATGGTGACGGGAGGGACGGCCAACAGATTGATAGCCTCAGCTCTGTTCCTGTGAGCTTTGTGGAGGAGGGTGTGCCCCTTCCCTTCAATCAGCTCTCAGAGTTCTCCTCATTGAGCTCTGCAGTGTGTAAATTTCAGCTCTCCAACCCTTTTTTTTGAGCTTTCAGACACGCTTTATAAAGTCATCACTTTGAATGGATGTAGGGCAGGGGTGTCAAACTGGCGGCCCTCCCGCTGCTGAGAAACTACAAGTCCCATCATGCCTCTGCCTTTGGGAGCTATTCTTGTAACTGTCAGTCTTGCAATGCCTCATGGGACTTGCAGGGTCCGGGGAGAGCGGACACGGTGAGTGCGGGGTCCGCGGAGAGCGGACACGGTGAGTGCGGGGTCCGCGGAGAGCGGACACGGTGAGTGCGGGGTCCGCGGAGAGCGGACACGGTGAGTGCGGGGTCCGCGGAGAGCGGACACGGTGAGTGCGGTGCGGGGGTCGCGCGGAGAGCGGACACGGTGAGTGCGGGGTCCGCGGAGAGAGCGGACACGGTGAGTGCGGGGTCCGCGGGAGAGCGGACACGGTGAGTGCGGGGTCCGCGGAGAGCGGACACGGTGAGTGCGGGGTCCGCGGAGACCGGACACGGTGAGTGCGGGGTCCGCGGGAGACCGGACACGGTGAATGCGGGGTCCGCGGAGAGAGCAGATATAGAGAATGCGGGGTCCTGGGTTTAGTAACACTTTAGAGTAACTTCACCACCTCCTCCTCCCCCAACTTTTTTTATTAACCCCCTCTTACATTGTTAATGGGTTATCCTCAAAATACATACTCACACGCTCAGCAAATCCAGCACCATACTGCTGCAATCTGCTGATCAGCCACTGATCAGCCACCACACATCAGAAGGCAGCTGCCTATTCTAGGTACTTGCAGCCAGCCCGCTGGTGATGCGCATGCACTGCATCATCAGCAAGAACCAAAGAGACTGTCGCCCCCTGCTGACACACTGTAAAGTAAGACCTCCTAGGATGCATGACATTAACATCCCCCAGAAGGCTGAGGGCAAGTGGATCTAGACAAGAATCCGGGAAGTATCAGTAGGGGTGAAGAGTTTAAAAAAAAAAAAAAAAAACCATAAAATAAATATATTAAACTAATGTCCAATTGTAAGAGAGGCCAGGATGGAGTGTGCAGGTGGGGAAGGTAAAAGGTATACAAATGAAAATGATTATAAAAAGTACACACTAGGATCTATTAATCTACATTTAGCCCCCTTTACATGTGAAAAAAAAAGCAATAAAATAACTTTCTGCGGATGTTTTATCAGCAGTCATGTGACTACTCAATCCCCCTTTTCTGGGGACGTAGAGGGCTGGGGGAAGAGGCTGTAGGGGACGTCACAGGTCTCAAGCAGGGGTGGACTGACAACTCATGGGGCCCCCGGGAAATAGGGGATCATGGGGCCCGTGTCCTTGCCCAAACTCAAAAAAGCCTATGAAAAAGGTACCAGGGGCATCTCACAGGGCCCCCTACTGACCCCGGGCCCTCAGGCAGTGCCCGAGTTTCCAAATGGTCAGTCCACCCCTGGTCTCAAGAAATTTTCCATTCCTGGGCTATAGAGGAGGATGAGCAGCAGCCGCTGTAACTCATACTGGAGGGGGTGTGGCCTCTCTAATCCGACAAAGGGATTCCAGGCGTGGCGTGTGTCGGCACAGTGTCCTGGAGCTCCCAAGGCAGAAGAAGATGTAAACTGAGCCCATTGCAAGAACAGGGGGTGAGGATAAATCTGCAAGGAAGAGTTTTTCTTTTTTTTTTTTTTAATCAAAAATTATTTCTAGCTCAAAAAAAAATAAAAAATAAAAAGGATTTTTTCTTTTAATAACATTAAATATCAAAAATGTGTACAAATTTCCCATCTTATATACACAACTTTCTAAACAAATGAACTTTCCCTTTAAAAGGGGATAAAAGGCAGGAGTACAGTCTATAGGACAGCGGTTCCAATATGGAGGCGGTCACACTTCCGAGGGGACCTTGGACATGACGGTGTCCAGCGGCTGCCAGTGGCTGTCCATCAAAGCCTCGTACAGCTCCTCACTCTGTGCCATGAACTCGTTGTTGGCCTCGTTCACGTCCAGCTCGGGGATGGGATCTGGAGGAAGATAAAGGAGGACGCTTGTCATCGATCGACTCACTTTAGAAAAACGACAGTAAGGCTTTTGTTTCAAGGAAGTGTGTGGTGGGAATGGAACTGTTTGTGGAAACTGCTAAATTGATGAGTTTAGTTCTGCTTTACCCCCGGATCACACCTATGCGGCAGTGCGGGCCGCGTTTTTGCGCCCATTCATTTGAATGGACTCCCGTGCTCCGTGACACGCAGGGAAGAAGTCTCCGCACTTCTGACAACGCAGCCGAGGTTCCCAGTACGGTTGCGTTTTCCAGTGCGGGCGGCGCGCCATTAGAATTAATGACACTCATCCGCGGGTCCGCATTCCTGTGTGGGTGGTGCGGCTGCACAGATTTTCGTGCGGATCCACAGCGGCACCACCTGCACATATGTGTACCTAGGGTGAACTTCCAGTTTAACACCCCCCGGTCACACCAATCCCGTGCGATTATTTCAGGAACTTAAATAGCGCCGTCAATTTACGCAGCGCCTTACATATATTCACATCAGTCCCTAACGGGCGGACTGACCATTTAGGGCACGGGGTCAGTAGGGGGCCCCATGAGATGCCCCTGGTACCTTTTTCATAGGCTTTTTTGAGTATGGGCAAAGACACAGGGGCCCCATGATCCCCCTATTGCCCGGGGGCCCCATGAGATGCCCCTGGTACCTTTTTCATAGGCTTTTTTGAGTTTGGGCAAGGACACAGGGGCCCCATGATCCCTTATTGCCCGGGGGCCCCATGAGATGCCCCTGGTACCTTTTTCATAGGCTTTTTTGAGTATGGGCAAAGACACAGGGGCCCCCATGATCCCGGGGGCCCCCCCCTATTGCCCGGGGGCCCCAGGGGCCCCTGGATGATGCCCCTGGTGGTACCTTTTTCATAGGCTTTTTTGAGTTTGGGCAAGGACACAGGGGCCCCATGATCCCTTATTGCCCGGGGGGGGCCCCATGAGTTGTCAGTCCCCCGCCCCTGGTCCCTAACCCTCAAGGAGCGTACAATCTAAGGTCCCTAACTCACATTCATACATACACATACTGGGGCAAATTTAGACAGGAGCCAATTCACCTACCAGCATGTCTTTAGAGTGTGGGAGGAAACCGGAGAACCCGGAGGAAACCCACACAGGCACAGGGAGAACATGCAAACTCCAGGCAGGTGGTGCCGTGGTTGGGATTTGAACCAATGACTAGTACTGCCAGGCGGAAGTGCTAACCATTCAGCCGCTGTGCTGCCCATGACTTCACTGTAAGTCGCACAATGTCAACGTCGGATGACATGCCGAATTGAAAGACATCTGACGCAGATGTCTAGGCAAATCGCACCAAAAAGTAGCGCATGTACTACTGTAGAAATTGGTGCAGCTCCGACCAAGTTGGAACCGCACCGGTATGACCGCCGTAATAGAGCACAAATAGGGTGCAACTTGACATGCGATTTGCAAATCGCATGTCAAGTTGCACCCAGTGTGACCGGGGACTAAATCAGCGAAATACATTCCAAGCAAATGCTGTAAAAAGTCCTACCATTTATCTTTTTAAAAAAAAAAAAAAAAAAAAAAAAAAAAAAGCAGCCACAGATGGAGTAGAAAAGCCTGTCCTCTTCCAGCATGTTGCAGAAATAGACTGTTGCCCATTCTGTGGAAGTATTGGTCATTCTGCAAAGGTCCAACACACTCCCTGACTGAGTCAGATCTACACCTCTCTAATCAGCAAGGGCATCCCATTAGAGGCGTGTTAGACCTCTGCAGAGAGACCGCTGCTCCCTCACGGAGAACAAGGATCACTCCCTGCAGCACTGGCAGAGGACAGGCTTTTCTAGTCAGGCGATGGCTGTTATGCTTTAAATTTTTGTCATTTCTGTTATCAGAATCTATAATTTTGTTTATTCACAATCGTCTATTATTATGAAATAAAGTCAATAGGATCAAATCTTACCTTCTAGTGACTCCTCGCCGATTTCTTCTGGGGACTGTAATCATTAAAAAGAAACAAAACATGAACACATATGTAGAGGTCCTTCTAGCCCCGGCTGACACGGATGAGACATGCAATTTAACCAAATGGATGGCTACAGTGCGGCTGTCCAGTTCTGGGAGGGTGTCATGTGATGTCCTCTCAGAACGTGCCCTCCGGACACGTGATCACGTGATGTGGTAAAAGGCCAATCACAGCAGCCTTTTACCATGTGATCAGCCGTGTCCAATGACAGCAGATCACCGGTAAATGCAGTTGCCGGTTATCGGCTGCACTTTCCTCATGCTGTCACAGTGTGAGGAAAGTACTGCCGATAACCAGCAATTGTCAGAGGACGACTCAGCACCGATCATCAGGGCACTGATGATCTGTGCCCAGCAGTGCCACCCACCTGTGCCCATCAGTGCCGCCCAGCAGTGCTATCCACCAGTGCCGCCCAGCAGCGCCGCCCAGCTATGCCCAGCAATGCCGCCCACCTATGCCCAGCAGGGCCGCCCACCTATGCCCAGCAGGGCCGCCCACAAGTGCCGCCCACCTATGCCCAGCAGGGCCGCCCACAAGTGCCGCCCACCTATGCCCAGCAGTGCCGCCCACCTATGCCCAACAATGCCGGCCACAAGTGCCACCCACCTATGCCCAGCAGTGCCGCCCACAAGTGTCCAGCAGTGCCACCCACCTATGTCCCGTAGTGCCAACCACCTGTGCCCAACAGTGCCTAGTAGTGCCACCCACCTATGCCCAGCAATGCCGCCCACAAGTGCCGCCCACCTATGCCCAGCAACACCACCCACAAGTGTCCAGCAGTGCCGCCCACCTATGCCCAGCAATGCCGCCCACAAGTGTCCAGCAGAAACACCCTCAAGTGCCGCCCACCTATGCCCAGTAGTGCCAACCACCTGTGCCCAACAGTGCCTAGTAGTGCCACCCACCTGTGCGCAGCAGTGCCACCAGTCAGTGCCCCCCATCAGTGCTGCCTATCCGTGCCACCTCATCAGTGCAGACTCATCAATGCACATCAGTGAAGGAGAAAAAATTACCCGTTTGCAAAATTTTATAATAAAAAAAAAAAAAGTTTTTTTTTTTCTATTTTTTGCTGTTTTTCTGTTTGTAGCAAAAAAAATAAAACATCCAATGGCGATTAAATACCACCAAAAGAAAGCTCTATTTGTGTGAAAAAAAATTATTTAAAAAATTCATACGGGTACAGTGTTGCATGACCGCGCAATTGTCATTCAAAGTGTGACAGCGCTGAAAGCTGGAAATTGTCCTGGGCAGGAAGGGGGTGAAAGTGCCCGGTAGGCAGGAAGGGGGTAGAAGTGCCCGGTAGGCAGGAAGGGGGTAGAAGTGCCCTGTAGGCAGGAAGGGGGTAGAAGTGCCCGGTAGGCAGGAAGGGGGTAGAAGTGCCCGGTAGGCAGGAAGGGGGTAGAAGTGCCCGGTAGGCAGGAAGGGGGTAGAAGTGCCCGGTGGGCAGGAAGGGGGTAGAAGTGCCCGGTGGGCAGGAAGGGGGTAGAAGTGCCCGGTGGGCAGGAAGGGGGTAGAAGTGCCCGGTAGGCAGGAAGGGGGTAGAAGTGCCCGGTAGGCAGGAAGGGGGTAGAAGTGCCCTGAGGGGCAGGAAGGGGGTAGAAGTGCCCGGTAGGCAGGAAGGGGGTAGAAGTGCCCGGTAGGCAGGAAGGGGGTAGAAGTGCCCGGTAGGCAGGAAGGGGGTAGAAGTGCCCGGTAGGCAGGAAGGGGGTAGAAGTGCCCGGTAGGCTAGGGGTTATTCCGGAGATCGGCTTTAAAGCCACCTGATCTGGACAGCCAGGCAACTTGCATTTTGAGAAAGAAGGATCAGTAATGGCAATCTACATTGACTGTGAAGCCCCCGCACCGCCCCCATCATATACCTGCCAGGCGTTGGCCGTGTAGCCGTACTGCTGATAGCTGTAAGCGTTACTTTTAGGGTCGTACTTCCAGTTGGAAAGCATTTGCTGGAACTGTTGGGTGTAGTAATTGAAGGCCTGAACGTACTCTGCCGCCGGGTTCCTTACTGCTGGGCTGAAAAATGACAGAGGAAAGACAGTCAGATGTCCAAATACCTAAAATGCTGTCAAACCTGTTCCAACCAAATTGCAATATATGCACTTAAAGGAAAAAAGTTGTTTGATCCTGTCTTCTCTGATCCTCCTCTTGTTCAAATGTCCAAGCTGATAAGACAGACTTAACCTGTAGCCCTTCTGCACATGCTCAGTTTAGTGTGTATTGCTAGAGGGTTTTCTTTTTTTTTGTGGGGAGAGTGCGTGTGATCAGCACAGGGCCAATCAGTACTGTCCAGACAGAGGTCAGGGGTTCTGCATCCTCCTAGAGCTAATAAGAATTTAAAAAAAGCCCCTATTTGTGAAGAAAGGCAGCCCTGTTTAACCGCTGCCCGACTGCCCTACAGCAGAAATGCTGCTACAGGGCGTCACGGGTGTGCAAAATCACGTATATACATCGCCAGCATTAAGGCCGTTCAGGGGGCTCCGACAAGAGCAGAGTCACTCTTGTCGGAGCCCCCCGAGAGGCCTTAATGCTGGGAGTCGTGGGGATGACGAACAGAGCTAAACGATTTCCAGGACTCTAGCTGGAGAACGTTGGCAGAGCAGTCTCAGATCCAGAGGAAGAGGTATCTTCCCATGATGTCTGTCTGGTCCACTTAAAAGGGGCTTGCTACAGATCCCTGGTCATAGGATTCAACACATTGCGCTTTTACTATGCGCATCTGGTGAGTGCGCATTTTTATCATATTCCTGCACGGATTAAAGTCACATGGAATAATTTGATACCACCTGTGCAACAGGATTTGTGCGCAGCATGACTTTCTGACCGGGTGTTTGTCAGACCCCCACCATCGTATGAACACTTTCTTTGTTTTATTACTTTAAACAGCCGCACTTGTTTAATTGAGCTCATTGCAGCGCTTCATTCGCTCCCGTGTTTTCATTTGTATTTAATATCTTCATATTAACCCCTTGATGCCGCCATCACACAAATATGCGGCCTCGCAGAACTGGGCTTTTTTCCGTCGGGCCACATATTTGCATACCTGTCTTTGTGCTGGGAGCGCGCCGCACTGCGCGATCCAAAACAAAGACCGCGGTGTCAATGAAAGCCCCAGGTCCCGTTCTAACAATCGGGACCCCCTGATTCCAAGTCACATGATCGCTGTGATAGCCTCTGATTGGCTATCACAGTGATCAGTCATTGTACAGCCCGGCCCCCTTGTTTTGTTTTTTTTTTTCCTCTCTCTATGCATGGAGGAGAGAGATACATTGTATCATTATATACATCCCGTCATACATTGTATCATTATATATACATCCCGTCATACATTGTATCATTATATACATCCCGTCATACATTGTATCATATTATATTATATATATATATATATATATATATATATATATCCCATTATACATTGTATCTATATCTATCTATCTATCTATATATAATATAATATGATACAATGTATGACGGGATGTATATAATGATACAATGTATGATGGGATATATATATATATATATATATATCCCGTCATACATTGTATCATTATATACATCCCATTATACATTGTATCATTATATACATTCCATTATACATTGTATCATTTATATACATTCCATTATACATTGTATCATTATATACATTCTCTCTCTCGAACTCCTGGCATAGAGAGAAAAAAATGTTTGTTTAAAAAAAAAATAAATAAATATTAAAACATAGAATAATAGAATAAAAAATACCTAGATCAAGGTTTGATCTAGTTCAGTGCTAGTGTAAGTGTTTGGGTCAAGGTCAAAAGGTCAGGATTTTAAAAAAAAAAAATTGGTATCAGGGTCAGTTAGTGTCAATGTCAGTATCAGTGTGTTTTAGATAAAAATATACAAAAACGCGCACTATTATTTCTGGGCTGTACTGCGGGTACAAACAACAAATAACATACACATCTATGGTATCACTGCGATCGTCAAGAGATGGAGAATTTATTTCGGGTTGTTCTTTGGTGGTAGGTTATGGTAGTAACAAGAAACACAGCTAAATTAAAAACAAAAAGGTTTTTTTACTATTTTGGGCCAGTTTTCCTTTGATAATAAAAAAAAAAAAAAAAAAAAAAAAAAAATCAGGAGATATCCATTACCATTTACCACCAAATGAAAGCCCAATTTGTCCTGAAAAAAACGCGGTATAATCCACCCGGATGTACAAAGTAGTTGTGATGATACAGACGGTTTTACTAACACAGGTCAACGTTGCAAAATTGTGCTTAGGCATTTAGATTTGTTTTACCCTCAGGCATGAAGGGGTTAATAATATTTTGAGTATTGCACTTAGATGAATTTTTTCAGCGCTGCACCAATTTTTGTTTATAAAAAGGGGGTAAAAGTGCCCGGTATTGAAGGGGTTAAAATGGATACATTATATAAAATAACCCAACAGGGGAATAACAACTTACTTGGGGCTGGATTCAGCTGCCGGCTTTGTGTAGAGCGCATGCTTCAGCTTGAACCTCTTGGGCTGTAAAAATTTCAAAAAGAGAAAAGTTATAGGCGACTTGTGCCAATTCTACAATGGTATAGGAAGCTGAATATTTGAAACAATTAAAAAAAAAAAAAAAAAAAAAAAAAAAAAACTACACAGGCGGTCACGTAAATTTCATTTGGGTGCAGCATTACCTGACCGCGCAATTATCAGTCCAAGTAACGCAGCGCCGTAATGCAAGAATGGCCTGGTCAGGAAGGGGAGAAAATCCTCTGGGAGGGCGAGGGGTCAATAGTAAAAAGTCAAAAATATTGTTTTTTTTTCTCAAAATTGTCTATTTTTTGTTTATAGCTCAAAAAAAAAAAAAAAAAAAAAAAAACAGAGGCGATCAAATACCACCGAAAGAAAGCTCAATTTGTGGGGGGGGGGGGGGAAAAAAAAAAAAAAAAAAAAAGACCTAAATTTCATTTGGGTGCAGCGTTGCATGACTGCACAATTGTCAGTTACAGTAACGCAGCGCCGTATCGCAAAAAAATTGCATGGTCAGGAAGGGGGGGGGGGGGGGGAAATCTTCTGGAGGGCGAGGGGTTAACCTAAAAATTAAATGTTAGGGTTAGAATGTTGACCTCAAAATTTAACCCTAACATGCGACTTTGGAGACAGTCCAGCCCACTGATGGCAACGGAACCCCTTCAAATCTATGAGACTTAACCACTTGCCGGCCAGCCACTGTATAAAAACGGTGGCAGGGCGGCACGGCTGGGCAAAAGCATGTTTTAAAACGGGCCGTTTCAAAACAGGTAGGGGGTGCGCGCGAGGCGCGCCGCCGCCCTACCTTCACCGCCGATCTCAGCCGCGGGTGTCAGTTGCCGGGTCACAGCCGGTTGTTATCAGCTGTGTCCCGGCGATTTGCAATCAGTGACAGAGAGCAGGGCTGCAGTAGCTCTGCTTTTTGTCACTCCTCTGACAGTTCCTGACATGCAGACCAGGAAAAATGAGACTCTCTGTCCCGATCTGTGTGTCTCCCTGCAGTACACACCCCCGCCCCTAGTAAAAACCCTCCCCTCACAGAGTTAACCCTTTCAGTGCAAAAAAAAAAGTTAACCCCTTCCTCCCCAGTGCCATTAGTACAGTGTCAGTGTTTTTTTTTTTTTTTTTTTTGCACTGATCACTGTATTGGTGTCACTGGGGATGTCAGTGATCCCAAGTCAGTTCCCCCCCAGTGTCAGAATGTCCGCCGTAGTCCTGCCATAAGTCGCTGCCATAAGTCACTGATCGCCGCCATTATTAGTATAAAAAAAAAAAAAAAAAAAACTAAAAATCCCAGTATCTTTCCCGCCATTTGTAAACGCTATAACTTTCGCGTAAACCAATTAATTTACACGTATCGGGTTTTTTTGTAGCAAAGACATGTCGCAGAATGCATTTTGGCTGAAAATTTATGACGAAATTTGATTTTTAAACTTTTTTTTTTACTGGACATGTTTTATAGCAAAAAGTACAAAATAGTTTTTTCTCAAAATTGTCAGCCTTTTTTTTTTTATAGCGCAAAAAATAAAAAAACGCACAGGCGATCAAATACCACCGAAAGAAAGCTCTATTTGTGTGAAAAAAAGGATGTAAATTTCATTTATGTACCGTATTGCATGACCGCGCAATTGTCCGTTAAACTAGCGCAGCGCTTTATAGCACAAAAATGTCGTAAATTGCAGTATCTATACCATAGTTTGTAGACGCTATAACTGTCACACAAAGCAATCAATATACACTTATTGGGACTTTTTTTTACCACAAACATGGAGCAGAATACATTTTGGCCTAAATTTATAACATACTTTGAGTTTACTATATATTTTTTATAGCTGAAAGTAAAAAAATATTGTTTTTCTTCAAAATTTTTGGTCTTTTTTTTTATTGCGTGAAAAATAAAAAGCGTACAGATGATCAAATACCACCGAAAGAAAGCTCTATTTGTGTGAAAAAAAGGATGTAAATTTCGTTTGGGTGCAGCATTGCATGACCGCGCAATTATCAGTTGAATTAGAGCAGCGCCAAGTAGCAAAAAGAGGCGTGGTCATTAAGGGGGGTAAATCCTCAGGAGGGGGAGGGGTTAAAGTTGCAGTGACTTTGAAAAGCTTCCTGCACTACTTTCCATACGACTGGAGTGCCAGAGAGTCTCAGCAAAGTCACGCTCAATATTTGTTTTTTGTTTTTTTTTTGCAAAACGTATCAAAAAATGCCAAAAAACAAAGTATCAAAAGCAAACTGCATAGGTGTGAACCTAGCCTAAGAGAGGGAGGAGTGTTTTTTTTTTTTGCACTCACAGGATTGGTTCCGGAGATGGCCTTCCCGTTGATGTTCATCAGACATCGCGAAGCTGCAGATTGGTCGGAGAATTCCACAAAACAGTAACCAGCCAGAGCCCTGCCAGAGAAAAATGTGTTAGGAATCCTGACGTATCTTCCGGAACCTGACCGAAAAACTCCCCGAGACGGCCGTATCCCGTCCTGCCTTGTTGCTAGGATGTTGCTAAGACGTTCCAAGTTGTCGCTGTTCTCCCCCCTTCCCCTCCCACCGCCCGCCGATCATCACAGGAGCGAGTTCTCCAACCCCCGCTATCACCGCAGCTCAGAGCTACTGCGACTGGGGAAAGAAACCACGTGAAGCGGTTTGACATGGCTGGGAGTGTCCTAGCAACATCCTAGCAACAAGGTATGGGACCGTGTTTCATTCATGCACCTAAGTTCTAAAACATGGACTCAGCCTTTAAAAGGTCCAAAAAGGTCCTACGCAGGCAAGGGGCGACTGTACCTCCTGAAGCCCAGAGATGGCATCATCCCATTCTGCCTTGTTGCTAGGACGTTGCTAAGACACAGCCAGCCAGCTCAGAGCTCCTGCACTGGAGAAGATAGTAGGCCAGACGTGTGCAGGAGTTTTGAGAGCTCTTTCCTATGACGTTGGGGGGTGACCAGTAACTGCTGGGAATGTCTTAGCAGGAAGGCAGGACAGGATGATACCATCTATGAGAGTTTTTCGGGTCAGGCTGCAGGAGGTACATGAATGGTACATGAATGGTGTTCCTCCTGAAGCCTGACTGAGAAACTCTCATAGATGTCTGACCCAGATCAGCCCCTGCTGCAGACTCTCACCTTATGACTTGCTACAAAGTTACAATGTACAGTCTGATCACTGGGGGAGGGGAGACTGAGTTAATGAGACAAAGTTACAATGTCGGGGGGGGACGGGACGAGGAAGTGCTCCCTCCTGTAATGCTGGGACCACAGAACCCGTGACTTCCGCAGATAAAACACATTGTGAACAATCCCGGCTGCTGCCAGAGGGACTCACCCCCGTGAACCGATTGCGTATGATCTTCACGTTGCGCACCGACTCCCCCATAGCCTGGAAGGCCTGCGTTATGAATGCTTCGTTCATCGACTCATCAATCTGTGGAAGGGAAAGAGGAGATGATCAGACAGGAGGGAAGAGCATGGAATCTTCAGAGGGGGGGGGAAAGAGGGGAGGGGGGGGGGGGGGGGGAAGGGGGGGGGAGGGGGAGGGGGGGGGAAAGAGGGGGGGGAAGAAAGAGGGGAGGGGGGGGGGGAAGAGAAGGGGAGGGGGGGGGGGGGGGAAAGAGGGGAGGGAAGGGGGGGGGGGGGGGGGGAAGAGAAGGAGGGGGGGGGAGAGGGGAGGGAGGGGGGGGGGGGGGGAAGGAGAAGGGAGGGGGGGGGGGAAAGAGGGAGGGAGGGGGGGGGAGGGAAGGAAGAGGGGAGGGAGTTCTGGGTGGAGCTGGGCGTGGTCAGAACAGGCAGAGTAAGCAGACCTTTGCAGTACAATGCACAGTCCATATATAATATCTCCTTCTCCTCCCAGAACTGACTGGTAACCCATACAGCAGCCACAGTCCATCACTCCGGACACACACAGCGGGCAGTGATAGAGCGCACACAGGAATTTATAGGCCGTCCTAGGCCGCAGCAGAGCCCCGGACTCCCGTAGTGGACTTCCACGGACACACACAGTTCTCCCCCCGGCTCTCCATACTCACATCTCCCATCCACAGGCTCGCCATCTTTCCTGCTCTCCCCGCTCTACCGCCCGCACACCTCTCCCACCAATCCGTGATTACCTACGCCACAAATGTGGGCGGACTCACTGACTGCTCCTCCAATAGGAAGGCGATGCTGCGATAGGGGTGTACACTACACAGTAGGAAGGTGTCTTCAGCTACAGACGGCGGCCATTTTGCGTGAGGCTTGATTGAACAATATCGTGGAAAGTTAGAATTAAAGGAGGGGAGATGAATGAGTGTCCGATTAAGCTCAGCTCCAGCCTAAACCTTTATCTTTGGACCACTTATCTCTCAGGCCTAGTCTGACATTTCTCACATACATGGAAAAATCTGCATTTTTTGCTACAAAACTACTTAGAACCCCCATACGTTATATATATATTTTTAACCAGAGGCCTGGACAATAAAATAGTGGGTGTTGAGAATTTTTTTTAAAGTCACACTGTACTTGCACAGCAGTTTTGGGGGGAAAAAAAAATATTTATTACAGGCACTTATATAGCAATAAATAAATAAAATGCAAAGTTTTTCGGAAATAAAAATGAGTTTTAAGGCACATAAACACTATATAATAACCAATTGTTTGGTAAGGTATAAAAGATGATGTTACACCGAGCAAATAATTACAAAACATATTGCGCTTTAAAACTGCGCACACCCATGGAATAGCGACAAACTACGGTACATTAACCCCTTCACGCCTGAGGGTAAAACAAATCTTAAAGCCTAAGTAAAATTTTACAACGTTGACCTGTGTTAGTAAAACCGTCCGTATCATCACAACTACTTTTGTACATCCAGGTGGATTATACCGCATTTTTTTCAGGACAAATTGGGCTTTCATTTGGTGGTAAATGGTAATGGATAGCTCCTGATTTTTTTTTTATTATCAAAGGAAAACTGGCCCAATAAAGTAAAAAAAAAGAAAAAAATTTTTTTTTTTTAGCTGTGTTTCATGTTTTTACCATAACCTACCACCAAAAAAACAACTGAAAATAAATTCTTCAGCTCTTGACGATCGCAGCGATACCATATACAGTATGTCCAGAAGTGAGTCTCCCCTCCCCAGGACTGTATACAATGTATTATATATATATATATAATTAGTATCTCCCAGAAGTGAGTCCCCCCCCTCCCTCAGACTGTATACAATGTGTATATATATATATATAATTAGTATCTCCCAGAAGTGAGTCCCCCTCCCTCAGACTGTATACATTGTGTATATATACAGTGGGGATCGAAAGTTTGGGCACCCCAGCTAAAAAGTTTTTTTAATGTGCATAAAGAAGCCAAGGAAAGATGGAAAAAATCTCCAAAAGGCATCAAATTACAGATTAGACATTCTTATAATATGTCACCAAAAGTTAGATTTTATTTCCATCATTTACACTTTCAAAATAACAGAAAACAAAAAAATGGCGTCTGCAAAAGTTTGGGCACCCTGCAGAGTTAATATCTTGTACTGCCCCCTTTGGCAAGTATCACAGCTTGTAAACGCTTTTTGTAGCCAGCCAAGAGTCTTTCAATTCTTGTTTGAGGTATCTTTGCCCATTCTTCCTTACAAAAGTCTTCCAGTTCTTTGAGATTTCTGGGCTGTCTGTCACGCACGGCTCTTTTAAGGTCTATCCATTGATTTTCAATGATGTTGAGGTCAGGAGATTGTGAAGGCCATGGCAAAACCTTCAGTTTACGCCTCTTGATGTAATCCCCCGTGGATTTCGAGGTGTGTGTGTTTAGGATCATTATCCATTATTAGAAGCCATCCTCTCTTTAACTTCAGCTTTTTCACAGATGGCATCAAGTTACCATCCAAAATTGGCTGAAATTTTATTGAATCCATTTTTCCTTCTACTCGTAAGATGTTCCCTGTGCCACTGGCTGCAACACAACCCCAAAGCATGACTGATCCAACTCCATGCTTAACAGTTGGACAGAGGTTCTTTTCATTAAATTCTGTGCCCCTTCTTCTCCAAACGTACGTTTGCTCATTCCGGCCAAAAAGTTCAATTTTAACCTCATCGGTCCACAGAACTTGTTTCCAAAATGCATCAGGCTTGTCTATATGTTCATTTGCAAAGTTCAAACGATGATTTTTGTGGTGAGGACGTAGAAGAGGTTTTCTTCTGATGACTCTTCCATGAAGACCATATTTGTACAAGTATCTCTTTATAGTGGAATAGTGACCACAACTCCAGTGTCTGCCAGATCTTTCTGGAGGGATCGTGCAGTCAAACGTGGGTTTTGAATTGTTTTTCTCACAATCCTGCGAGCTGTTCTGTCTGATATTTTTCTTGGTCTTCCAGATCTTGCTTTAACTTCCACTGCTCATGATGACTGCCATTTCTTAATTACATTCCGAACAGAGGATATTGACATCTGAAAACGCTTTGCTATCTTCTTATAGCCTTCTCCAGCTTTGTGAGCGTCAACTATTTTCAGTTTTCAGTTTTCTAGACGACTGCTTAGAAGAACCCATGGTGCTGATTGTTGGGGCAAGGTCAGATGAGTCTGGGCATTTAAAACCTTTGAGATTGACATCACCTGGTCTTCCCAGACGATGATTGAGAACAATCCATGACACTGGCAGGTCTCAGCTTTGCAAAGGGGGCAGTGCATGCTATAAATTCTGCAGGGGGCCCAAACTTTTGCAGATGCCATTTTTTTGTTTTCTGTTATTTTGAAAGTGTAAATGATGGAAATAAATCTAACTTTTGTTGACATATTATAAGAATGTCTAATCTGTAATTTGATGCCTTTTGGAGATTTTTCCTTCTTTCCTTGGCTTCTTTATGCACATTAATACAAATTTTTAGCTGGGGTGCCCAAATTTCGATCCCCACTGTATATATAATTAGTATCTCCCAGAAGTGAGTCCCCCCCTCCCTCGACTGACTGTATACTATTTTATATACTTGTATAATATCTCCCAGAAGTGAGTCCCCCCTCCCCCGGTCTGTATATATATATATAAATATATATATCCCAGAAGTATATATACAGTATATATATATACAGTATCTCCCAGAAGTGAGTCCCCCCTCCCCCGGTCTGTATACAATGTATATATATATATATATACAGTATCTCCCGGAAGTGAGTCCCCCCCCCCTCGGACTGTATACAATGTATATATATATATATATAATATATATATATATATACAGTATCTCCCAGAAGTGAGTCCCCCCTCCCCCGGTCTGTATACAATGTATATATATATATATATATAGTATCTCCCGGAAGTGAGTCCCCCCCTCCCTCGGACTGTATACAATGTGTATATATATATATACAGTATCTCCCAGAAGTGAGTCCCCCCTCACATTTTTGTCAATCTTTGATTCTCTCTTTTCATGTGATAACACTGAAGAAATGACACTTTGCTACAATGTGACGTAGTCAGTGTACAGCTTGTATAACATGGAAATTTGCTGTCCCCTCAAAATAACTCAACACACCGCCATTAATATTGTGAAGTGAAAAAATGCTGCTCTACATGAAACTGTGGCACAATCCTTATATAGCAAAAAACAAAGTGAAAAAATAAAAATATATATAGAGAAGATAAATAGTTGAAAAAAGTATTAATTTTGAAATAAAAAAAAAATATATATATATCAAGGGGATGCCCTTGATAAGGCACGTGCGTAGTGATAAAACGCGTCGGGGAGGAGTATGCGGATGATGTCACAACGTTACCATTCATCAGGATAGCGGTTGTAGTACTCGGTAAGCGGCTCCTGGAACGTCATTACAGCAGGCAATAGCATTCACTAAGTGGGCCCCGTGCTTTGCCTGGCATTACATTACGGATGGTGTCTGTTTTGAGCATGTGCAGGACTCTGCTGCTGAGATGATACTGCCATCTAGTGTCTAATCAGTACATCACTGGATCTTCATCATACCTGGTGCAATATACACCTCCGGAACGTGAGTGTATTTCTAATGTTTAATTAATGAATAAAAGTTTAAAAGGATAAAGCACTATGTGGAGTTCTTTTTAATGAAGAATACGGCTGATACAAAGACATGCTTATCAGGAGGGAGCTTACTTTGGAGTCTTCATTCAGCAAGCTGATCTTCTGAGTCCATATGGGACCAAAAGTGCAGTTAGTCTGTAACATTGTATAATTAATATTGTGAAGTGAAAAATGCTGCGCTACATGAAACAATGGTACAATACTTATATTGTAAAAAAATAAAAAAATAATAGAGATAAACAGTTGAAAAAAATGCTAAATTTGAAAATAAAAAAAAAAAAAAAAATAATAATATTATATATATAAAAATATATATAGTATAAAATAATATATAACATATATATATATATAAATATATTTATAAATAAATATAAATATATATAATATATATATATATATAATTATACAGGATTTATATAGTGCCAACAGTTTGTGCAGCTCTTTACAATAATATATATATATTATATAATATATTTATATATTATCATAAACAAATATATATAAACAAAGACTACACAAAAAATAAAAAATATTTTAAATAGAATCAAACAAAAGTCTGAAGTTAAATCAATAAAATGTTCTTCAGTGAACCCTCCTTTGGATAACGAAAAATCTCATCCTCCCGTGAGAGACATCCTGAGCATATATTGTCACCTCAGCTGTATACAATGTTACGGTCTAACTGCACTTTTGGTCCCATATGGACTCAGAAGACTACTCCTGAATGATGACTCCAAAGTAAGCTCCCTCCTGCTGAGCGTCTTTGTATCAGCCGTATTCCTCATTGAAAAACATAGTTTATCCTTTTAAACTTGTATTCATCAATAAAACATAAGAAATACATTCACGTTCAGGAGGTGTATTTTGCACCAGGTATGATGAAGATCCAGTGATGTACTGATTAGACACTAGATGGCAGTATCATCTCAGCAGCAGAGTCCTGCACATGCTCAAAACAGACACCATCCATAATGTAATGCAGGCAAAGTACGGGGCCCACTTAGTGAATGCTATTGCCTGCTGTAATGCCGTTCCAAGAGCCGTTTACCGAGTACTACAACCGCTGTCCCGATGAATGGTGACATCATCCGCACACTCCTTACCAACGCATTTCGTCGCTACTCACGTGACTTTATCATGGGGATAAAGTATATAATATATATATATATTTTTTTTGATTTCAAAATTAATTAATTTTTTCAACTATTTATTTTGTATATTTATTTATTTTTTCACTTTTTTTTTGCTATATAAGGATTGCGCCATTGTTTCATGTAACGCAGCATTTTTTCACTTCACAATATGATTGTATAGTTAGCTCCACTGAGACATGGGTTGTGTACACTAGCAGCTACAGTATTTATACGTCTAATTTTAATTTTTAAAGTTTTGTTTTCATTTCACCATAGTTAGCGCTTGAGTTATTTCAATTTATTGTACACAGCCATTAATGTCTAAACCGCTGGCAACAAAAGTGAGTCCACCCCTAAGTGACAAGGTCCAAAGTGTCAATATTTTATGTGGCCGCCACTATTTTCCAGCACTGCCTTCTTGGGCATGGAGTTCACCAGAGCTTCACAGGTTGCCAATGGAGTCCTCTTCCACTCCTCCATGATGACGTCACAGAGCTGGTGGATGTTAGAGACCTTGTGCTCCTCCACCTTCCGTCTTCCGCTCCTCCATGATGACATCATGAAGCTGGTGGATGTTAGAGACCTTGCGCTCCTTCACCTTCCGTTTGAGGATGTCCCACAGATGCTCAATAGGGTTTAGGTCTGGAGACATGCTTGGCCAGTCCATCATCTTTACCCTCAGCTTCTTTAGCAAGGAAGTGGTGGTCTTGGAGGTGTGTTTGGGGTGGTTATGTTGGAATACTGCCCTGCGGCCCAGTCTCTGAGGGAGGGGATCATGCTCTGCTTCAGTATGTCACAGTACATGTTGGCATTCATGGTTCCCTCAATGAACTGTAGCTCCCCAGTGCTGGCAGCACTCATGCGGCCCCAGACCATGACACTCCCACCACCATGCTTGACTGTAGGCAAGACACACTTGTCTTTGTACTCCTCACCTGGTTGCCGCCACACACGATTGACACCATCTGAACCAAATCAGTTGATCTTGGTGTCATCAGACCACAGGACATGGTTCCAGTAATCCATGTCCTTAGTCTGCTTGTCTTCAGCAAACTGTTTGTGGGCTTTCTTGTGCATCATCTTTAGAAGAGGCTTCCTTCTGGGACGACAGTCGTGCAGACCAATTTGATGCAGTGTGCGGTGTATGGTCTGAGCAATGACAGGCTGACCCCCCCCCCCCCCCCCACCCCTTCACCCTCTGCAGCAATGTTGGCAGCACTCATACGTCTATTTCCCAAAGACAGCCTCTGGATATGTTGCTGAGCACGTGCACTCTACTTCTTTGGTCGACCATGGTGAGGCCTGTTCTGAGTGGAGCCTGTCCTGTTACACCGCTGTATGGTCTTGGCCACCATGCTGCAGGGGAGAGAGAGACAATATATCTCTCTCCTCCATTCTCCTCTTGTGTTGCAGCAACGTCTTGTGTACATGCACTCCAGTGATGACAGGCTGCATGTGTTTTTGCACACAGGGTTGCTGGGTGAATGTGGTTTTTCACAGGGAATGTTTTTAAGTGGCACCAACAACAGTGGAAAATGTCTGGGTAATGGGCATCAGTATAGCCTATAGTCTACTATGGGAGATAGTGTGACAGGGGGACTTGTAGGGAGGAGATTTTAAGAGACAGAAGCAGAGCATTGTACAGGGGGTGTCCGATCAGAGCGCAGGTATGTACGGGGGTCTCTGATCAGAGCGTGGGCATGTACTGAGTTCTCTGATCAGAGAGTGGATAAGTACGGGGGTCTCTGATCAAAGAGTGGGTATGTATGGGGGTCTCTGATCAGAGCGAGGGCATGTATGGGGGTCTCTGATCAGAGTGCGGGCATGTACGGGGGTCTCTGATCAGAGCGAGGGCATGTATGGGGATCTCTGATCAGAGCATGGGCATGTACGGGGGTCTCTGATCAGAGCAAGGGCATGTACGGGGGTCTCTGATATGAGCGTGGGCATGTACGGGGGTCTCTGATCAGAGCGCAGGCATGTATGGGGATCTCTGATCAGAGCGAGGGCATGTATGGGGGTCTCTGATCAGAGTGCGGGCATGTATGGGGATCTCTGATCAGAGCGTGGGCATGTACGGGGGTCTCTGATCAGAGCGCAGGCATGTACGGAAGTCTCTGATCAGAGTGCGGGCATGTACGGGGGTCTCTGATCAGAGTGCGGGCATGTATGGAAGTCTCTGATCAGAGAGTGGGTATGTACGGTTGTCTCTGATCAGAGCGCGGGCATGTACGGGGGTCTCTGATCAGAGCGAGGGCATAGATGGGGGTCTCTGATCAGAGCATGGCCATAGACGGGGGTTTCTGATCAGAGCAAAGGTTTGTACGGGGGTCTCTGATCAGAGCATGGGCATAGACGGGGGTCTCTGATCAGAGCAAAGGTTTGTATGGGGGTCTCTGTTCAGAGCAAAGGTTTGTATGGGGGTCTCTGTTCAGAGCGAAGGTTTGTATGGGGGTGTCCTATCAGAGCGAAGGTTTGTATGGGGGTGTCCTATCAGAGCGAAGGTTCACAGTCCCCTGTACAAACCTACACCGTGATCAATCAGCTCATAGATTTGCATTCTCAGCTGAAACAATGTTGCATATTTATTCTTTGATTGGTTCCACACAATCCCTGTCCCATGATTGGACCTTTCAGTTGTGATTTGAAGTCTACAGGATCCTGAACATAAAACCAACAATTCCAGGAAAAGGCGGGGAATAAAAGGATTGGTTATACTTTATTTCCATTCCTACATGTCACATTGGAGGAAATTTTCTCCCATTTATGAAAGATCTTCATACAAATGATTCAGTTGCAGTCTTCTGGGGGGACGCAGGTGCCGGTACTGTTGCGCTGGTATCCTTTCGTACAGTCGCAGCCGATGAAGCATTTGCGGTTACATGGTACTAGCGCATCCCCGGTTTTGCATGTAGTCAGACATTTGCTGCCACATGTTACAAATCCTTCATTCTCTGGACAGCCTTCTGTAAAACACAAAAAAAAAAATTACAGACCGAGCAGTAAAAAAGAACCCAAACCCCCATCCCCCATCCCAGTGTCGAAAACCCAGGAACCTGCATTCACTATATCCGCTCTCCCCGGACCCTGCATTCACTATATCCGCTCTCCCCGGACCCTGCATTCACTATATCCGCTCTCCCCGGACCCTGCATTCACTATATCCGCTCTCCGCTCTCCGCTCCCCGGACTCCGCATTCACTATATTCCGCTCTCCCCGTACCCCTGCATTCACTATATCCGCTCTCCCCGGACCCGCATTCACAATATCCACTCTCCCCGGACCCTGCATTCACTATATCCGCTCCCCGGACCCCGCATTCACTATATCCGCTCCCCCGGACCCTGCATTCACTATATCTGGTCTCCCCGGACCCCGCATTCACTATATCTGCTCTCCCCGGACCCTGCATTCACTATATCTGCTCTCCCCAGACCCTGCATTCACTATATCCGCTCTCCCCGGACCCCGCATTCACTATATCCACTCTCCCGGACCCCGCATTCACTATATCCGCTCTCCCCCGGACCCTGCATTCACTATATCCGGTCTCCCTGGACCCCGCATTCACTATATCCGCTCTCCCCGGACCCCTGCATTCACTATATCCAGTCTCCCCGGACCCCGCATTCACTATATCGGTCTCCCCGGACCCCTGCATTCACTATATCCGCTCTCCCCGGACCCTGCATTCATTATATCTGGTCTCCCCGAACCCTGCATTCACTATATCCGCTCTCCCCGGACCCTGCATTCACTATATCCACTCTCCCCGGACCCGCATTCACTATATCCGCTCTCCCCGGACCCCGCATTCACTATATCCGGTCTCTCCCGGACCCCGCATTCACTATATCCGCTCTCCCCGGACCCCCGCATTCACTATATCGGTCTCTCCCCGGACCCTGCATTCACTATATCCGCTCTCCCCGGACCCTGCATTCACTATATCCGCTCTCCCCGGACCCTGCATTCACTATATCCGCTCTCCCTGGACCCTGCATTCTCTATATCCGCTCTCCCCGGACCCTGCATTCACTATATCTCTCCCCCGGACCCTGCATTCACTATATCCTCTCTCCCCGGACCCCGCATTCACTATATCCGCTCTCCCCGGACCCCGCATTCACTCTATCCTCTCTCCCCGGACCCTGCATTCACTCTATCCGCTCTCCCCGGACCCTGCATTCACTATATCCGCTCTCCCCTGACCCTGCATTCACTATATCCCGCTCTCCCCGGACCCTGCATTCACTATATCCGCTCTCCCCTGACCCCGCATTCACTATATCTGCTCTCCCTGGACCCCGCATTCACTATATCCGCTCTCCCCGGACCCTGCATTCACTATATCCGCTCTCCCCTGACCCCGCATTCACTATATCTGCTCTCCCTGGACCCTGCATTCACTATATCCGCTCTCCCCGGACCCTGCATTCACTATATCCGCTCTCCCCTGACCCCGCATTCACTATATCTGCTCTCCCTGGACCCCGCATTCACTATATCCGCTCTCCCTGGACCCTGCATTCACTATATCTGCTCTCCCTGGACCCTGCATTCACTATATCTGCTCTCCCTGGACCCTGCATTCACTATATCTGCTCTCCCCGGACCCTGCATTCACTATATCTGGTCTCCCCGGTACCCCATATTCACTATATCTGCTCTTCCTGTGTCAGGGCAGGAACGCTTGTGGAACGGGCAGGCAGGCCTATGGTACGGTCACGCTGCGACTGACGACAGCCACTACCCACAGACCGGAGTCCCTCAGGGTGCGGAGTCTAAGCCCCAGTACTACCCTTCACCAGGGCCCCTGATGGTGGGGAGAACTTGACGCAGCCTGAGACCAGGTCGCGGCCCCCGAGTGACCCCAGCTGCGATAAAACGACTGCCGCCAATGGCGTACAGCTGGTGGGAGCTAGATGGGAACACGAGTAGAGTAGTCAGACAAGCCGGGTCAATAACAACGGAGCAGACAGTACTAGACGGTAGGCAAAGAATACTCAGGTCACGGGCCGGGTTCAGCAACAGGAGGTCAGGTAAAGGGTTAACACAGAGAATAGTCTTGTCAAAGCCGAGTCGGTTACCAGGAGAGCAATGGGAACAACACAAGAGCTTGCAACAGGGCAACATACAGGACACAAGTGCAGAGCACACTTGCAGACAGCAGGTTTAAATGTGCTCAACCACACCCTTCTGAGGAGGAGCCGCAGAAGCCTGAAGGCATAAAAGGTTCCCACCATGCTTTGCAGAAAACCAAGATGGATGCCAGCTCATGGAGATGCACAAGCTCTGAAGAAAGGTAGGACCTTGACATCCTGGACCCTGCATTCACTATATCTGCTCTCTCCCGGACCCCGCATTCACTATATCCGCTCTCCCCGGACCCCGCATTCACTATATCCGCTCTCTCCCCGGACCCCGCATTCACTATATCCGCTCTCCCCGGACCCGCATTCACTATATCCGCTCTCTCCCCGGACCCCGCATTCACTATATCCGCTCTCCCCGGACCCCGCATTCACTATATCCGCTCTCCCCGGACCCCGCATTCACTATATCCGCTCTCCCCGGACCCCGCATTCACTATATCCGCTCTTCCCGGACCCCGCATTCACTATATCCGCTCTCCCCGGACCCCGCATTCACTATATCCGGTCTCCCACAGTACACAGAACATGAGATGCAATTATCTTAGTAAATATAAACTGCTAAATCCCCTTTCTCATCAGCAGTATATAACAGTCTTGTGACTTCTATCATTGTCCAGCAGAGCACATATAAAGCTTGTAGGAGGAGTTTTCATTTTGCCCTAGGAGGATGCAGGACCCCTGACCTCTGTCCGGGGGGGGGGGGGGGTGTTCTTGAGTCCTTGAAATGTGCTGCTTCTTGTTCTCCTGTTTTTAATTACTATCAGTATTGAAGAATTTCAGACTCGTAGCCTTTAATGTAGACATATGCAGAACGAAAAAATTTGTTTTGTTTTAAGTCGATTTGTTAAATTACTAATTTCAGTTTGTTGCATTAGTAATCCGTTTTGATTCGTTTATTTTCCTTTATAGCAGATTGGAAGTATGTGAATCGAATTTGAATCTAAAATATTGAATCAATCCAAATTCATTGTGAAGAATGGCTGGTTCTGTTCTATTTAAGATTCGAATTTCAGTAGACAGCTATATTATTTTAGTCTAATCTATTTTTTTCTATTCTATTCTCTTCTTTTCTATTCTATGCTTTTATTTTCTATTCTTTTCTATTTTATTCTCTTCTTTTCTATTATTCTATTTTCTACTCTATTCTTTAGTTTTTATTCTTTTTTCTTTTCTGTTTTATTCTTTTTTACTCTATTCTTTTCTTTTCTATTCTATTCTGCTTTATACTAGTCTTTCCGAAATTTTAATTTCAGAAGACATCTACATTCTTTTTATTCTATTCTATTCATTAAAAGTTGTTACAATTGTAATTTGGAAATTCAGATACATCCAAATCTCAAAAATGTATTCCGAATTTCGATTAGGAATTAAACGAACTGCACATGTGTACTTGGTTCACAATATTGCTGGATTTGCTTGTATGGTCACAGAATAGTATTCACGGCATTTAAAATGACCAAAATATAATTTTACCGGCTGGTGGAGCTGGACCACTTGATGCTGTTAGAAGAAAAACAAAATAAAAATGATAGTGTGTCGTGGAGTAATGCACAAACCAGTCACCAACAGCAACAACCCACAACATCTTCCCAACATCCCCTGGCTGTTTCTATACCTGCTGGCATTGGCTAGCAAATGGTGGAGAATGCGGGCAATCCTAATAGGATCTTGATGCATGGTGCTCTGGACATATGTCTTTGATCCCTTGATGGACTAGCAAATGGTAAGAAATGTGGCTACCTCTGCATCCCAATTCCAGACATCAATGGTGCAGTTTTGAGAACTCACTTTATCATTGCCCTTCCCAACATTTCCTGGCTGGTTCTATACCTGCCGGCTGTGGCTAGCAAATGGTGGAGAATGCGGGCAATCCTAATAGGCTCATGTACCTGGATATGTCTGATCTTGATGACTAGATGGATGGCTACCTCTGCATCCCAATAGACATCAATGGTGCAGTTTTGAGAACTCACTTTATCTTTGCCCTCCCAACATCCCATGGCTGGTTCTATACCTGCTGGCTTTGGCTAGCAAATGGTGGAGAATGTGGGCAATCCTAATAGGTGAAGGCAGGGGCGGACTGACAACTCATGGGGCCCCCGGGCATTAAGGGACCATGGGGCCCCTGTGTCCTTGCCCAAACTCAAAAAAGCCTATGAAAAAGGTACCAGGGGCATCTCATGGGGCCCCCTACTGACCCCAGGCCCTCGGGCAGTGCCCGAGTTTCCAAATGGTCATCGGCCTCTGGGTGAAGGTGCCTAGATATGTCTGATCTTTATGAATAGATAGTGGTGATCTCAAGCAATGTGTGACTGTAACATCTTTGAGATAATCAGTCCCAGTAGACATCAATGGGACTGCCTGCATGGGAGGTGCGGGTCACCTGTGAATCCCCATGTGGGCAAACATGGCCCTGCACGGGGCACTCATTGATATGCCCTGTGTGAAGGAGGCTTAAAACATTCAGAAAGAAAATGAACTAAAAATGAGAGAGAGAAGAAAATTGTGAAACTTACCACTTCCAATGAACGACGCACACACCACTAGGAGAAAAAGCCAGAACAAAAAAAAAATGGCATTATTTCAGGAAATGTTCCGAAATTCTCTTTCTGATGCGCATGAAAGATGTGAATCAAGCCCTAATCAGTAACCACCAGCAATGTAAGTACAGGAATCCTGCAAGGTTATTATTATTATTATTAATAATAATAATTATATATATACATATATATATATATATATATATATATATATATATATATATTTTTTTTTTTTATTATTATTAATTTTTTCCTCCTACAATCTGTTATAAACATATCCAATAAAAAAATCAAATTTCTTCATAAATTTAGGCAAAAATGCATTCTGCTACATGTCTGGTGAAAAAAAAAAAATCCCAATAAGTGTATATTGATTGGTTTCCGTGAAAGTTAGAGCATCTACAAACTGTGGTATATATACTGGTTATATATTATAGTGGGACTGGGGCAGCACAGTGGCTTAGTGGTTAACACTTCTACCTTGTAGTAATTGGGTCATGGGTTCAATTCCCAACTGTGGCGCCTCCTGCATGGAGTTTTCATGTTCTCCCTGTGTTCACGTCGGTTTCCTCCGGGTACTCCGGTTTCCTGCCACACTCCAAAGACATGCTGGTAGGTTAATTGGCTCCTGTCTAAATTGTCCTAGTTTCATCCCTGGCCACGCAGGATCTCCTGCATGGTGGGGGTTGGGGAAAGACCTGGCAACCTACCCTGTAAAATAATTGCTAAGAGAATTCATGGAAGAAGTCACTTATGAGTGACGGTCCATGCAATCACCAAGGGCCGGATACGACGACTAGGATAGATAGATGATAGATAGATAGATAGATAGAGATAGATAGATAGATATGATAGATAGATAGATAGATAGATAGATAGATAGATAATAGATAGATAGATAGATAGATAGATAGATAGATAGATAGATAGATAGATAGATAGATAGATAGATAGATAGATAGATAGATAATAATAGATAATAGATAGATAGATAGATAGATAGATAATAGATATCTAGATAGATAGATAGATAGATATAGATAGATAGATAATAGATATCTAGATAATAGATAGATAGTGGGACTGTGATAGTGCGGTGGGCAATCTGACACTGGGTGGGAACTGACTAACTGACACTGACATCACCAGTTACACTAATACAGTGATCAGTGCTAATGCGGTACAATGTCACTGTACTAATGACACTGGCTGGGAAGGGGTTAACATCTCGGGGTAATCAAGGGGTTTAGTGTGTGCCTAACAAGTGTTAATAATGTTGTGTATTATGTGCTTTTTTTTTTTTATTAAATTCTCTTTGTTTCTTCTCCCTGCTTTGCAGGGAGAAGAAACAAAGATATTCCCTCTGTACAAAGCCCTGTGTTGACTGTTAACACAAGGGCTCTGGGCTGTGATTGGACACAGCCGATCAGCAGGTCCTGGCCATGAATCTCTGGCTGGGACCTGCAGACAAAA